GAGCCTGGTGGTGGGTATTAAGGAGGGCACGTATTGCATGGAGCACTGGGTGTGGTACATAAACAATGAATCTTAGAACACTGAAAAATTAAAAAAAAATTTTAAAGCCCATTTCTTTCTATTTGCAAAAATCTCTTCTTAGCCCTGGGGCTCTCCTGCCCCATGAGCCTTTTCCCCAGGTGAATGACAGCTAAAGCTTCCACGGTAAATCCCATGCATCCCCCAAACTCAGAAGCACTGAAGCACCAAACTCAAAAGCATTGTGTCCTCATCAGTCCCTCCCCTCCTTCTGGAAACAGTGGCACTGAGTTCTCTGAGGCTCATTGTGCCTTCAGCCTCAGCAAGACTAAAATCACACAGCAGCAGGAGATGAATACAAACACCCCAGAAAGAAAGCCCAGGAACTGCTTGATCACTCCCCCAGTGATGGCTAAAGCCTTCCCATTCTGCACACTTGCTTCCCTTTCTGCAATTTTTATTTGGGTTTTGTGATTTCTTTAAAGAGAAAATAAGTGTACAAGAACAGTTATGCATGAGATGATATGATGTCTGGGATGTTGCTTCAAAATTATTCCATGCAGCAGGGGAAAGTGGGTAGTGATAGAGATAGAGACAAGATTGGCCATGAGATGAACATTGTGGACGGGAAGTGATGGATAGATACGTGGGGATTCATCTGATTATTTTCTCTGTTGCGGTATATGTTTGAGATTTTTCACAATGATTTTTAAAAGAGATAATGGGTAAAGTGCTCAGAGTCAGAGGGTCAAAAATGTCATTTACCTTGCCAGGGACCCAAGCCAGGGCTGCCCTTTGTTCAGCTGTCTCTCAGTTGCTGGCCTCAACCAGCATCTCCTCCTCTACCAGGGGCAAGCTGCTCTGGAGCTGGAGCTGGGACGGTGAGTCTGGGCACACATTCAGGGAGGCAGCCAATGGCATGTCTGTGGTCACCCTGACCACGCAGGTGTCTGGTCTCTGAGATCAAAGTTCCCACATGTGGGCACAGATGGTCTTACTGGAGGCCCTAGTGTATCTGGTAGGTACAGAGGGTTCACCCATAGGGCAGCTATGAGAGACCAGGGATCTTGGAGCAAATGTGTCTCACTTTGGTGTCCTCTGACTGTGGTGCTTTCTCAATTCTAATTAACTCTATTAATTCTCTTCCCTACTTGAGCCATTCCCACTTTGAAGCCAGCAACTGGAAGCTTGCTCAGCTAACTCCAAAAGCCACAGAAACATGGACAGTGGGGCTGGCCCTGCTCCAGAAGGTCTGTCTCCTCCATAAGGCTCTCAGCTTTGTTTGGAGGCAGCAGTGTGTGTCTCCCTCCTCAGGTGGGGTCCACCTGGCCCCTGTATGGAACAGCTGTGCACACATGTACCACTGATCCCAGGAGGAAAGTGGGGTGAAATCCAGCTCATGTTTGCTGAACGAGACACAGGTCAGGCAGCTGTGCTCACCCAGACTAGAAGTGGCCCTGAGCTTTTATAGGCTTTTCCAGGCTGGAAGTGACCCTGAACTTTCAACCCTCTTCCTCAAGGAACCCTTGTTCTTCCCAGGCTCTGCAGATCCAACAGAACCATGGGAAACACGCACCTGCCACACCTGCCACAGCCAGTGTCCTTTCTCCTCACTGTCTGATTACAATGAGGTCAGGGCCCCTGCCTGTGGCAGCCACCTTCTTTTGCTCATCCCAGCCTTGGTTCAACAGAATTCTCTTGTGCATCTTCTTTGATTTCCACTGCTCTAACTCCTGCCCCTGCAGCCTCCATTATCTCCCATCTAAATGATGTCACAGCCACCAGCCTGGCCCCTCCCTCAGGGGCTCTAACCTCCAATCCTACACCTAGAAACAGACACGCACCCCTCCCCCATTGCTTAAGCCCTCACTTCCCCCACATCCAGCATGAGCCACGGTGTCCTCCCTGCGTCCTGCCATGACCTCGATCACCCCCCTGCTCATAGGCCTCGCACAGACTCATCCTCGTGGCCCCTTCCCACCCAGCCTCTCGTGTCCTATCTGTCCATTTCCTGTTTGCTAATGCTCTTTCTTTAAAAAAGAAAAAAAAAAGAGCTAATGCTCTTTAAAAGGAAAAAGATTTTAGAATAATTCTGCATTTACAGAAAAGTTACAACGATAGTCCAGAGGGTTCTGTCAACCCCTTACCTCCTTCCCCATAATGTTAACAACATACATCGTGCATCTGTCAGAGCGAATAAACCCTCACGATGTTTTTTCAACTTATTGTTAAACAAGAAAGTCTAAAACTGAGCTGGCAAGTGGCATGTAGTGCTGGGAGGAGGAACGGCCAGCTGGGGTGCACACTCTGGGTTGCTCTAAGGTGGACATGAGGAAGAAGCTTCCAGGACACCATCTTTGGCCTGTGGTGGCCTCAAGGGAGCCCAAGGTCCCTAGCTCTGCCTAACAGGCTGACCCCCACAGCCTTCATTCACCCCAGGAGAGGCCACAGCCTCACCATTTGATCCCAGAGGGGCCTGTGATGGGGTCAGGAGAAGAAAAGGAAGAAATAACCTCCATCATACCAGCCTCGCCCCCAAGTTCAGCTCACCTGCCAAGAGGAAAACATTTTCTACTGAAAACAAAGATAGGTAAGCGGCATTAGAAATGGTACATTGTATGTCTCACTCCAAGGAACAATTTATCAGTGCTGCAGAGCTGTCAGCCGCTGACATGATAAGGAATAACACCAAATGAATAATGTTTCCTCCAAAACCAACTCCTTTAATTACAAGCCTCTTCTTTCCAGAAGAGAGACAGAAGATGCAGAAACACCAATTTCATGCACTTGTGCCTGAATAATGTCTCCATGCTGCTTTTTCCAGATGGCGACCTTCTCACTGGAGGGACTAATGATGTGGGCATATTTAGGCAAAAACCAATAACGGAGTCTTTAACCTTCAACAACAAAAAGCGTGTTGTACAAAATGTTCCTTGGGATACATTAGAAAATATCAATTACATTGCTCACTGAGGTGTAATCAGCTGTAATAATCAAAATTAATTTTTAAAAATAATTAAACAGACCCCAGGGCAAATAGTTGATGCTCTTCTCCTATGACATCACAGTCTACATATGTACCTGAGAAGTTGTGCCTTCTGCTAGCCACAAAGGCATCTCGCGGGGATGAGTGATGGGTGCGGGATGGGAAGGCTGCTGAGTTTCATCCCAGCCAAGAGGGAAAGCATTTTATTCCCTCGCTCCATATAGTGCCACACACTTATTTTAAGAGCCTCCTCTGTACCAGGCACTGTGCCCGGCCCAGACCGAGTTATTGGTACAGGATTCTCCAAAGCAAAGGCACAGTTCATTTTTTAAAAATTAAAACATAAGTCTACTTTGTCTCAAAAGAAATCTATCTTTAAAGAGTCCAAAAGATAATACAAACTGAAGACAGGATGACTAAATCAGATCAAAGACAGACGAGGTTCCAACAGAAAGGCAGAAGCAGCGAGAGGGGTGTGTGCACGTACGTGTGTGCATGTGTTCGTGTGTTTTGCAGAATTTTATGGGGCTAGGTGTGTGTAGTTATAAGAGCATGGCCACAGTCACCTCTCCGAGCTTCTGAGTGCCCAGACGACCATGCCGAGAAATGTAACTGCAACAGAAGTTCTGGTGTTTGCCAGTTGCTCTGGAAAAGCACAGGCCTTCCTACTGGTGACAGCTGGGGGAGACTTCCCCGGGGATTGCCCTCTCCCCACTTCAATCCAACCACACTGTTCTTTGCTGCCTTAGAACACCCCAGCTCATGCCTGTCTCAGTGCCTTTGTCTGATGGTCCTCCCTGCCTAACCACTCTTTCCAGAGTCTCTGCCTTATTTTTCTGCTCCTATGCCCCCCTTCCAGAGAGGTTCATGTAAACAGTCACCTTCTCCCAGCTACCCTGTTCCATTTTTCCTCGTTGCAATTAGCACCCTCCATATTTACAAATTATTTATCTATTTATTGTCTATCTTCACCCCCTAAAATGTATCTCCAAGAAAGCAGAGAATATGTCAGATTTTCTCTCTTCTATAACCTCAGGGCTTACAGAAGGGTACAGAGTAAACACTTAATGAGTATTTCTTGAGTGAATGAATGAAAGAATGAATGGAGACCTCAACTGACATAGAAGACAGTATCTTCAGCAGCCTGCCTTCACCAAAGACAGAGCCAATTTAAATTTTTTTTCCCTCCAGATCTCTCAGTGTGAGCCCAGAGCAAACTGTTGTAAGCCATTTGTGGACCTACAGGGGCTTCAAACACTGTAATCTATTCCAGTGTCTTTCACATAAACCATTTCTCAACCAATCTCCCCAGAACTCAGAGACAACAGAGTCATGCCAATGACAGTGACCTGGGAGTGGGTGGAAAACTGGCAAGAGGCACGTCAATAGCATGCAAGGGTCCCCATGCAAGGCACGCCCATGCCCAGCATCCCTGCTGTCCCTTTCCTGGCTGCTAGCCAGACTGAACTGACCCCCTGGGGTCAGAGCTGACTTGGTCAAGGAACAGAAGTTCCAGAGTGAAGCCAGAGAAAGAGGGCTGGACCCCTCCTACTCAGGAGCAAGTTCTGGGGCACAGGTGGGCATGCTCCAGCTTCTGGGGCTCAGCGCAGCCATACCACCCGTGAGATGGTCTTCATTTTGCTAAGCCCACCCATACAGCTCCTGCTAAGCTGCGAGCTAGGGCTCTCTGAACACACCTGACTCGAAAGGAGTGTGGGAACAAGACCCACAAGACCTGGTTTGGGTTTTAACATTATAAGGAACACCCACCTGCTCTTGGAGCTCAAGGGGAGCCCATATGCACTTCAAGTTAAAGCCAGCCTAAAACCTGGTTCCCCTAGATGTCATTTCAACTGGAAAGTCACATGCATAATCTTACATGCTCAGATGAATATGGAATTGGATCATGTCCACAAGCAACAGAGAGCGAAGACATCCCTCATGGGGTTTGGAACAAATGTGTGCTGCTTCTCTAAGGCAAGGTGTCTGAGCTCACCTCTGTCTTGCACTCAGGTTCCTTGGCCTGCCTGCCCGGCACCAGCCTCATGGCCGAAGATAAGCTACCACTCCATGAAGACACTTTGCTGTGGTGTCCCACGCTCGAGCGACTGGCCAGCAACTTCTTCTCAGATGCTAGGAACAGAGGAGCAAAAAGTGTCAGAAGTAAAGTTGAGGGAAGAGCATACACAATTTCTACAACTGGCTTGGCTTTTAAAGGGCCAGCCAGGGACACAAGCCCAGTGAGCCACCTCCAATAAGGACAACAGCCCAGGCTACAAGCACACATTGTCATCTTCTAAGCCATATAGTGTGGGTTTCAGGGTCAGTAGACCCAGATTAGACTCCTAGTTCCACTGACTCAAAGGGAGATGTGGATAATTAAGCAGAAGTTCCTGTGTTCTCATCCTGTAAACTGGCAATAGGAGCATCTAACCTCATTCTGGTGTCATGAAGAGTAAATAAGATTATGCATTTAAAACATAGATGGTCGGGGCACCTGGGTGGCTCAGTGGGTTAAAGCCTCTGCCTTCGGCTCGGGTCATGGTCCCAGTGTCATGGGATCGAGCCCCGCATCGGGCTCTCTGCTCAGTGGGGAGTCTGCTTCCTCCTCTCTCTCTCTCCTTTCTCTCTGCCTGCCTCTCTGCCTACTTGTGATCTCTGTCTGTTAGATAAATAAATAAAATCCTTAGAAAAAAAAACATAGATGGTCAAATGTACAGAATTTTCAATACATGATTGTTGGCATAAAAGAGAGCCATTTGTAAGCGAGCACTGAGGTCCATCTCACCACTTAATTCACTGCATGTGTATGGGGACAGATGTCCTTTTCCATTAAACTTTTCTCTGAAATGGAATCTGACATTTTGACCTCAAATTATACACGGGCATGTACACACACATACATATTTTCCAGTCCTGGTTTGGAAAGCCAATGAAATAAAAGTTCTATATCGCTGGGCAGTGTGGGATGATATACATGGAAATAACTAATTCTTGAATCACTGTGAATTTTGTGATGCTGGATGACTTAAAACAAGTACATGAGCTATAATTTAAGAGTGATGACCACTTTAAAAACAAAATTCCGGGTGGGTGGGCTGGCTGGCTCAGCCAGTAAGGTGTGCAACTCTTGATCTCAGGGTTGCAAGTTTGAATGCACACTGGATGTAGAGATTATTTAAAAATAAAATTTTTTAAAAAATTTAAAAATTAAAACAACATTCCTATAGCTGTATTAACTTATATGAAGGAGAAAGTGTTGAGTCACTGAAAGAATTCAAGGATCATTAATATTTTCGGGATGAAAACTTTCACTTGGAACATGAGGCACCTGAGGCTCCAGGTCACTCCATGACTTAGTATAAGGTTTCAAAGCTGGAGGTGAATATCAGGGCAAGACCTAGAACCCTAAGCTCTAGGGTTCTAGGGTTCTAGGGTTCTAGGATTCTAGGCTAGAGCTCTGGCAGGCGTTCACTTTCTCTAAGAGATTACAAGAAGCTGCTTGCATCTCTGGCCTTCCTTTCACCCAGGATGCAAAGCAGCATTCATTCTTTGTGAGCAAAGTTTCAGGAGGTCTCAGTGATGTCCATCCCACCCACCAAAGGGATGACAGAGAAGATGTGGTTGGAAAAGGCTCTGGGCCCTGAGCGGAACTCGGGGAAGTCTGCATCTGTGAGACCCAGCAGTTCTGTTCTCTGGAGCCAAATGGACAGAGACCTAAGTAATGCTGCCAGGCCTTGAGCATCGTCTCCTCCCAGAGTGGGGTAATCTCTTCAATCTTCACTTCACTCTCTCCAGGTTTCACAGAGAGATCAATCTTGCAGGTGTCTTCCAGCTCCTGCCGCCTCTGTGCCACGAGCTGCTGCCATAGGGTTCGCACAATCTTTTGGATGTTGTGCTGGACTAACAGAGAGAACACATCACATAGTCAGGATGGCCTTGGTGCCTCTCCCAGCAAGGGTGAGGGGATGGTGTATCATGGCTGCTTTTATTGCATCTTTCTTGAATATTACTGAAGCTTTCAAAGCTCCAGCTAGTCAGTTTGTAGCCAGTGCTGCCAATATCCAAGTGAGCTGGCCTTTCCCCCACCCCTAACTGCCCACCACCAAGTCCTGCCTGCTTCAGATGTTCAGAGCTGGGAAACATGATTGATGGGCACAAGGAGTCTCTTTCTCCTACCCTCAATTCCATTAGATACCAAATAGAAAACTACCCAAGTAAGCTCTAGCTAACCAAATGCCACCTCCCCAACAGCTGTGTCTAACCTACCTTTTATGTTGGCACCTCAGAGGAATGGACACCAAGCCCAGAACCATGGCTAGGGACCCAGGACCCAAGCCAGTCCTCTTTCCTGACACCGAATCATGCTTCCTACCAACTACCAATCTCAGTGCCCTGGATTTACCCAGATATAGACCAATCCATCAGGCCAGTTCTACCTGATGTGCCCCATAATTATAGGACCCTAAATGCCATTGGATCTTGGACCACAGAGTCACTCCTCTATAGACCATTTTGTTCACTCTAGGAGGATGAACATTGCTCCATCCACTTTACCAGCCAAACCCCAAATATGAGTGTTCATGTTGTAATTAACACTGTGTCACAGTACACTTTAAACTTAACAGTTTTAAGCACTGGCTTTGGGCACCTATGTGACCAAAAGAGAGCAATTCCTAAACACATGGACCTGGCTTCAATTTTTTTTTTTAAATTTCCAATCCCTTTAACTTGATTTGATATTAGCAAATCTAAAAATAAACTCCATCAAGCCAAAAATCTCATAGAAATAAGGAATTTATTTACTCCATTCCCATTTTCTAGAGAAGAAGGTTGAGAAAGAGCTAGTTTCAACGAGGTAAGATGACGTTCCAGTTCCCTTGTTGAGCAGTCCGAAGGAAAATTCAAGGGACCTCCTGAGAAGTGAAATCACCTTATGGTAAAGCCCCCTGGAATTTTATAGTAAGTCCTCCAAGTTCTTAGCCTGACCAAGTCCCACAGAGTTGAAGAATGTAACCCAGAATTTACCACCACCCAACCACTCTCCCAAAAATAAACATCAAATATAAGGTACCATCGCTCAAACTTGGTAAGTCTTCCTCTCCTTTTTCTCTCCCTTCTTCATTTGGAGAAAGAAACACTTGATGATAAGGAGTCATTCTAGGCTTGGGTTCCAATCCAAATCCTTCTGGATAACTAGGAGACAAGAGATTTTTCACTATAAACTCTAGTTTCCTTGGGATCATTCCATTGTTCTCTATTACAAATAATCATCCTTCAAACTTAGTACATATCAACTGGAAAAACTTGTCTATTTGAGTTTAAGTAAACACCTCACAACAACTCCCGTGACAGATATACAATTAACAACAGAAAAAATTCTTTTTTTAAAATTCCAGTCTTATTAAATCTAATCCATACTCCCAGCAGATTCCCTGAAACTTCTTCTGGTTTCCCAATGATCAGAACTGGTCATTTGTTTTTGTAGACTCCCAAAATATTGAACTCTGCCTTTGCTTGGCACTGATCTCATCCCACCTGAGAGGGGCCAGACTAGCTCCATGGGCCTGTGACCTGTACAGTTTCACAAGGTCCACACTTAAAAAGGTTCTGTGTTTGGGCTCTGCTGACATTGTCTTGAATTCTTAGTAATTTTTTTTAAAGATTTTATTTATTTATTTGACAGACAGAGATGACAAGTAGGCAGAGAGGCAGGCAGAGAGAGTGGGGTGGGGAAGCAGGCTCCATTCTGAGCAGAGAACTGGATGCGGGGCTCGATCCCAGAACTCTGAGATCATGACCTGAGCCAACTTAAGGCAGAGGCTTAACCCACTGAGCCACGCAGGTGCCCTGAAATCTTAGTAATTTTTGAACAAGGCCCCACATCTCCATTTTTCCTGCACATCATGAAGTTGGTTCTAAGTGGAGGCACAGTGGTTTGCATCCTAAGTTCCTCATTAACCGTGTGTTCTGGGGCTCCTAATCCATGTGCCTTCTTCTCTGGGCCCCTTCATCTACTCAGTACAAGTTTGTGGATTGAACCAAAAATGACAAAAAAAGGAGATGAAAATATACCGCCATATGACATTGTCCATTCTTGAAATTCCTAGAATAAAGTCCTTTTGGATTTGGAGGCCATTTAGCGGAACAGAGGGATCTGAGGAAGCTGGACATTCAAGCATACACACACGCTGGCACTCCTCTGTTCTCACCTATGCTTCCAACATGGGTAGGCTTACTTCTGAAAACACAGGCAAGAGAGCAGAACCTCCCACTTTAACCCAGCAAAAAGGAATTCTTTTATATCAAACAAATAACATGGCAAGGGCCTCCTCTGGGCTAGAAGTGTTTTCCGGTGATTGCCAGAGAGTTTTAAGACAAATCAAGTTGAGTTTCCTAACATTCAATAGTCAGTTTGACCGGATTTTTGGAATTTTTTTTCAAGTAATAAAACAGAATGTGTACTGGGAATAAACAACAACAATAGCAACAACAAGAAGACAAGAGCAAAGTATAATATCGCATAGGCCTCCTTTCCTTATGCTCAACATGGTTCTATTAATAAGAGATCGCATTTGTAAGCAGTATGGTGCCAAGCCACTGGTGATAGAGAATATTCACAGAGAAAAAGAAGAAAGTACATATACACAGAGAAATCTAACATATTCTCAGAATTTTGGATTTAAGAAAATGATTTAAATAAACTTAATTCAGGGAGTGCCTGGGTGGCTTAGTCGGGTAAGCATCCAACTCTTGGTTTCAGCTCAGGTTGTGATCTCAGGGTGGTAGGATCGAGCATTGTGTCGGCCCCATGCTCAGTGCAGAGTCTGTTTATCTCTCTCCTTCTGCTCCTCCCTCACAGCACATGCTCTCTCCCTCTCATACAAATAAATAAAATCTTTTAAAAATTAAACTTGATTCCATTTCTTTTTATTAGTGTTTCTTTTTTTAATATATTTTTTAAGATTTTTATTTATTTATTTGACAGAGAGAGATCACAAGTAGGCAGAGAGGCAGGCAGAGAGAGAGAGGAGGAAGCAGGCTCCCTGCCGAGCAGAGAGCCCGATGCGGAACTCGATCCCAGGACCCTGAGATCATGACCTGAGCCGAAGGCAGAGGCTTAACCCACTGAGCCACCCAGGCGCCCTTTATTAGTATTTCTTATACAAATTTGCTTATGGATATCATTTTATATCATAAATAGTGTGCATGTAGAAACTCATGTCTGGCTTGCATGATACAATTTATTACATATTTTCTCAGTGTAAGACTACATTTATCAAATGTTAATATTTCTGAAATCGGGCTGCATCATAAAATCAATTATATATTCAGTGTTGGAGCTTTCTGCCCCTAAAATGAAATCAATAAGCTATCTTACAACCCGAGAATTATGGAAATGGAGTAAATTATTATTCCTGATGATTCTAGTGGCTCAGTTACATGGACAGATTTGAGGACAATCTACTGTACTGTCAAACACTGCACATAATTTGGACGACCAGATAAACAAAGAATATATATATATATCATTCGTATTGACCCCAATCAAGTGTCCCTCTGAAGTTTGCTTTTCTGCATGGACCACTAGCAGGCAAGGAAACAAGCAGGCAGCTCTTACCTTCTCTCACTGAGGAGCAAAAAGCAATGCATGAGACACAGGAGGAAGCTGACGTTGGAGTTATAGGTAGCAAGGATAATGTCCCAGTGTTCCTGTAGGAAGCCCAAGATGCTGAGAAGACTGAGGCACTCGGAGAGGGATTGCTGGGGCTTGGACAGGCAGTACAGAATGACTTTATTTAAACTGCTGTATAAAGCACTGATGACAGCTTCCCTTTGAGAAGAGGCATTCTCAATGACCTGTGTCATAAAATAAACACATACACACACACACATACGCTTGTGAACACTTTGCGAGTTTTAGATACGGACCCAGTTAACTATGAAAATGACACAATCTTAGATTCTGTTCTGTATTTCAAAAAGTGATGTGATCTAAAATTCAAATAGAACTACTTTCCTCTACCTTTGAGCTTCTATTTAAGTGATGATCACTAAAGTAAATTCGAACAGCTGGATTTATCAAACACTCGTGCGGAAGAGGATTTTTTTAAAAATTAAAATTAAAAAAAGAAAAGAAATTAAAAGTTGACCACCCTCATATTATAAAAATAGACATTAGCCAGAAATTTCTAAAATGCTGATAATGTGGTTGATACTCAAAATATAAAATCATGCTATTAACAATGTCTAATTTTTTAATATATTATTAACTATTAATAATAGTTATGTCTAGAGTGTTTACAATATTCCAGTTATCCTATTAAGTATTTTTGCATTGATTTACATACATTGCCACATTTAAACATCATATCATGAAGTAAGCACTAAGATTATCCCACTTAAGGGATAAGGAGACTGAGGGTCAGAGAGGTTCAGCAAAGGTCAAACCCACACCAGACACTCGAGTCATGCTCATAGCCACCATATCATCTAAAGTTGTTGGGAGGCCAACAAATTTCTGTACATGAGAAACTTAGAGGGGGAGGCAGATGGTCCCGAATGGTAGCCTTAACACTGGTGTGTCCACCCATCTATTTGGCTTCATTGTATCTAATAGACAACAAAAGTCCTGGAGATCTAATGCACAGCATAGCGATTATAGACAATAATCCCATCCTATAAACTTTAAAGGTGCTAAGAAAAATAAATAAATAAATAGAAATAAATAAATGAAGGTGCTAAGAGACTAGGTCTTAATTGTTCCCACCATGAAAAAGAAATGATAATTATGTGATTTGATAGAGGTATTAACAAACACTGTGATGGTTATCCTGTTGCAATCTATAAATTAATATAAATCTATAAAGTATCAACTTAAACTTATACAATGTTATAGGTCAATTATAGCTCAATAAAAATACATTTAGAATTTTTTTAAAAGAATCTATAGCCAAAAATTATGTGCAAAATGTTTCTCTATTCAGAAGATCATCTGTTAGTCATAGATTGCTCTTTTAGAATTGCATAGGTAATGAATGTGTTTATGCCTATGAATTTAAGTTTTATTTAAATATGCCGGAAATTGGGATTCGTGTTTTTAATCGTCATCCTGTCTTGCTGCTCAGATAGGTCACAACTATCGACCTGAAGTTAAGATCCATGAGAGTCAAAGGCAGTGAGAAGAAGAGAAGGATGGCAGATATGTGCAGAGCAGAGTCTGGCCTAGTGTCCCCATGAAGGCACATCAGCCCCAGGGGGTACCCATTCTTTGATGTTAGCTCTGAGTGTTTGCTTTGACCACTGGAGAGCTGATGTGGGCTGAATGTTCCCCCCCGAAACACCTATGTTGAAAACCTAGCTTCCCACGGTGATGGCACTTGGAAACAGGGTTTCTGGGAGGTAAGTAGTCGTGAGGATGGAGCCCTCATGGTGGGATGAGTGGCCTTATGAGAAGAGACAATAAAGAGCTTGTGTCCCCTCTCTCTCCATCACATGAGGACGTAGTAAGGAGATGGCCATCTGCAAACCAGGAAGAGAGCCCTCCCCAGACACCAGATCTGTGGGCATCTTGACCTTGGACTCCTCGGCTTCTAGAACCGTGAGAAAGAATGTTTGTTGGCTAATCACCCAGTCCGTGGTGCTGTCATTACGGCCCGAACTAAGAGAGAAGCTCTGTGGCTACTTTCATTTCTCAACACAACTTTGCAAGAATCTGATTCTAATCCCCTCAGAGCCAACAAGGCATATTTCTCCCATCTTGGGGCTATTCTAGAGGGAGCATCTGAATACATTCTGACTATCACCCTAGGAACTATGTCAAGGCCCTGTCCTGGGCTCTGCAGGTAACTCCACAGACAGAAATATTCTGGGGACACTCATGTTACCCACTCTAAGAGGTGTGAAGAGGAAGGAGAGGGGTTCCCCTGGGTTCTGCTGCAGAAGGCGAGCCGAGAACCACTGGTGGGAGTTTCTGGAGGCAGATTTCAGCTTTCCAGCAATCACAGGTGCCCCACTGGCTGGGACCGTCTCACACCAGCATGAGCTCCTCAGACAGGGAGGGTTCAAAGAAAGAGCGAATGGCCACTTGTCAGGAAAAGTCTCTAGAATGGAAGATGAGGAAAAAGTAAAGGGTTCCCCTCCAGAATTTGGAGATTGTATGATTCTGTGTGTGTATGTACACATGTACAATAAAAAATGTGCACACATGTACACACAAACTTACATCTGAAGGTGTATCTACAAGCACACATTTGCTTGTGTGGGTGTGTATGTAGACTGATCTGGGGAGAGATGGAGAGCATACGCAGGAATAATAGGGCTGGGAAGAAATACTCATGAAAACTGCGGGAAGGCCCAAATATGACCCATAGGTGCATATGAAGAATGAAATGAAACAGACTTATTGGAAATAAGGAGCTTTTTGACCCTTTGTTGATGGGGAATAACAATAACAAAGATTAAACCAATAATCACAATAAAAACGTGACGTGGGGGGTGTAGAGTCTAGAAGGGAACAGAGCTCAGCTGCCAGCATGGGGGGCTGCTGCTCCCACTTCCCAAGACGGCTCTCAAGGAGCCTGAGGTAAGAGCCCTGAAGGGCATGCAATATCCACCAGGTACTACCTGGGCCATATAGGTCCTCCTCCTTCCTCCCACCCCTCTCAGAATTGATTTCCAGGAAGGACAGCCAACAGTGAGTCATACAGACACTTGGTGGGTCAGCAGGAGATCCCCACCCCCGCCAACACCACCACGGCCAGCCCAAGGTTCTTACCACCACGATGCGGTCTGTGATGAAGAGAAGAATGTGTCTGGGGTCTGCTGAGAACATCCCACTGTACAATTTCTCCACCAGCTTCTGGGTGAAGTGGGAGATGTTTGCAAGTGAAGGAGCAGCAGCAGCTTCTGCATTTGGCTGAGGCTCTTTACTGCCTGGGGGTGGGGGAGGGCATGGTGAGGACAGAGACCACGTCTGAGAAATCATCAGAGTCCAAATAGCCTTCTCTCCACAACAGTCTCCAAGTCCCTCATGGCAACCAACCACAGCTTACTCACTTCTGTATACCCAAGTGTAACCTCTGTATACTCTGTTGCTGGAAAATGGGGTCTTATACACAGTAAATGCCCAGTGAATACACATGCTTTTCAAAGTTAAGTTAGTCTTGAACAATTTTGTCAGTGACATAAACCAAGTGGGGAGAAGGCAAACCGGGGGCAGCATTTCTTCCACCATGCATCTAGAAGGCGGGTGGAGAACTTAAGGCCTAACGTAAATGGGGAGGCTGTCATGGTGACCCAAGACCCTGTGGCTACAGGGAGCAGAGGATAAAGCTATAAAGTTGATCGGTCTGCGCTCATCACCATGGCAGGCACTGTGTGCAGAGGGGATGTGCTGATCTCAGCTAATCCTTGTGAGAGCCCTCTGAGTTAGCCACAGTCGCCATCCTCACTCACAACTTCAGGCACCTGCCCCAAGTCACACGGCTGTCTAGTGATAGAGCCCAGAGCAGAAATGGGACCACCAGCTCAATACTTTTCACTGCGCTACCTTCCTGCCCTGCAGATGCTCTCCAAGAAAAACCAAAAGTCAGGGTTGCCACGCTGTGGGGAAAGGAAGAGTCTGGAAGATGAGCCATGTCACTAAGGATTCCATGGCTCAGAAACCACAGAGAGGATGTTAGAGTAGTTCTATGGGGAAGGTACGGCTCCCTGGACCTAAGCATTCTGAAGGCATCTTCAATCTCAACTTCTTAGGGGCGTGACATCATCTTCATCCAGGGTCATCTGTTGAAGAAACCCTTGCTGTGCCCAGTCTTGGGGGCAGAGAACAAGATGCTGAGCAGAAGAATGTTAAATTCTAGCTGCCATCTTGACTTCCCTCAAGGGAAGAGGCCAATCTTACTGAAACCAGAGGAGAGTGGATTTGGGTTCAGAGGCTTTCTGTCTCTGAGTGGTTCAGTAATGGCAGGGGTGTCATGGAGAGGGTCACCATGCCTCCCTTAGAGCCTCTAGGCAGTGTTTGTGAGCTCTCTTTGTGGATTTGTGGAAGGACTGACTTGCAGGTAGAGGGTAGCTTCTGTGGCTCCCGAGGGGCCCTGCAGCCCTGTGAGCCAGGGACTGGTTTTCCTGTTCAGTTGCCAGAAGCTCTGTGTCATAAAGGAGGAGAAGGTCACCCTACTCACCTCTGAGCATGGGCACATTGCCCCCATTCAGCATGTGAAATATTTCCATGGTGGAAAGCAGGACCTCAGACTGGAAGTCTCGCTTCTGTTGGCTGGTGGCATTGTGTGGAGAAGCCTGGAAACACATTGGGGACTAAGAGAGTGGCCACACAGCCATCACATCAACCTCATGCCATCAAGCCTTCCTGTGTGCCCCATATGCTAATACCACAGCTGCCGGGAGTGTGGGCGGCCCGCAGCTCACAACTGCCCCTTCCCCAGGGCATTGCCCTCAGCTGATGAAATCCCCTCACCAGAGAGGTGAAGCCCACTTCCTGGGTGGAGGAGGAAAGCTGTGCAGGACCCACAGGGGACCATTTCTTAGCTTGCTTTTCCCCTGTCCCCCTCTGCAGCTCTTTCCTGCTTCCTCTGAGAGTACAGCCCCCAGATAATTTCCATAAAATCCCTGCTTTAGGCTCTGCTTCTTTAGGACCTGGCTAAGCTCTGCCCTTGCCCATCTATCCAAATGCTGCTTGGTGAGCTCCCTGCTATGCAAGGGTCTACCATTCCTGCCATATCATGGCAGTCCCAGGAGACGTTCTCAACTCCCAGCTGGCTGATATCTGCAGGCCAAGGTGAGCTCTCCAGAGAGATCAGCTCCCAGGTGTCCCTGGGAATCTCCCAGCCTTGTGGTGCCCATGTCCTCCCAGGCCTTCCCCCACAATACACGACCCCAAAACACCCTTTCCAGCTCACCTCCAGGAGCACTTCCAGAAGCAGCCACTGCTTGGGGTTGGAGGCCGCCAGCAAGGAGTCCCTCAGCAGTCGCTGCATGAACTCCCTCAGCTGCTTCCGTGTGGGATGTGACTTGGCAGGAGCCTGTGGACCCTCTACAATGTCGTCACCTTCGGCTTCCACCCCGGGGCTGCTAGCATTCTGGACAGGCTGAGTCATGGGCTCCTCCAAGACGAGAGAACGCCAACATGAGTGGCCCACCTGCCTCAGGGCACTCTCGTGTCCACCTCTGAGATGTGCACAGGTGGAATTCTTATCAAACCCACTAACATGGAAGGCAATCGAGGCTCTGAGGAAGAAGGCCACTTGCCCAGAGTCTCACTGCTCATCGGGGGGCCCCACTGTGGTCTCTGAACACGAGGTAGGCAGGAGCCATGGAAAGAGGCTGAGCACAGAGCGAGAGAGGCCTGCAGTGGTCAGTGACGAGCAGTGCATATGTTGATGCCTGGCCTCATGGACTGTGTGCAAGACAGCCTGTCCTCACCTCCTGGGGGAGCTCTCACCTTTACTGCCTGCCAGGGCCTGCTGACATTGACAGACAGGACCGCCTGCTGAGACAAGGAGGAAGGACTTCCTCAAGGCCTAGCATCCAAGTCCCAGAAGCACCTTGGCCTTCACTTTCTCATTTTTATGTTTATAAAAATATGAGATCTGTGAGGCAGGGGTTGTCAGCCCAGATACATCCAGGAGGACATGGGGATGCTGGGAGACCAAATGACACACCCAAGGACACGCGGCCAGGGGCTCCTGACTCCCGGCCCATGAACTTTCCATGCACATTCATCTGTCAGCACCTCCCTTTGCTCATTCATAAAATTAATGCAGCCGTTCTTAATTAAGCCATAAAATGAATTTAATGGCACCTAGGGAGGTGGTGACTGCATTAATTAGCTCCATGTGGACTTGACTGGAAAGATGCCATATATATTTACAGCAAATCGAAGCCTTTTGGCCACCAGCCTTCTGCATCAAGAGGGCCTGTCGCGTTTTCTTTGCAACAAAGGCCTTCTGAAGCTGACTTGGAGCTGGGACAAGGCTAGGAAGTGTGGGGATAAGCGTTTTGAAACCGGAGCCAGGAGTCTCAAGACAGGGTCTGGCTCCTCTGCAGTCACTGAGGAGGTGACTTTGGGCCAGGCCTGCCCCCAGCAGGAACCATTGAGTGTGAGGAGGAAGAGCCCTGGGTCAGAGTGTGGGCTGCGGGCAGGCAGCCGGCTGGAACCCCGGCTCAGCAGATGGCGAGCCTGGCCGGCAGGTGTAGGAGTTAAGGTGGGGCTCTGGACTAAGGATGTCAGACCACAGACTTCATGGTTCTGGTCCCCTCCAGAGGCCCTAGTGTGGGGGATGATGAGGGACAGCCTGTAGGACTGTTCTTCCTCCCTGACTGGCCCAGGGACGCCTGGACTCTGTCCCACCCACCACCCCTCCAGTGCAGCCCACAGTGATTTCCTTTGCTCTCTACTGCATCTTTTTTTTTTTTTTTAACGCCTACTTTTCCAGTATCTTCCTTTAGTTCATACTAACCCAACAAACCATTTTATCTTTTTGCAAATCTTCTAGTCTTTATGTTTAGTTTTTTCATGAAAACCAAATTACTTGAATTTTATTTGGCCATTTAATTTTATTTTAAACTGACTGATGGAAAGTAACTGGGCCTTGGGGTGAGAGAGTGAGGTTTCAATCTTGGCTCTGTCACTCATGCATCATATAAACTCTGGCCTATTTCCTTCTCTCAAACATTTTGTGAGATGGGTCTTATGGCTCCAAGACATGCAGCAGAAATTGCTCGGACTTGGCCTCTCTGGATCTTACTGTCCCCCTTTCAGAAACCACCTGCCTAGGGTGCTTCTAGGGTCAGGTAAAGCACCAGGCTCAGGACCCTCCAGGTGTTCAGCAGACGGGAGCTATCACCATGAACACACTTCTAGAAAAGAGGAGCTGAATGAACACATTGGTTATATCCATTTGGTTGTTGAGCCGAGAATTACGGAACAAATACCACATGCCCACACTGTGCACAGCATGGCTTCTGAACCTTCCACATAGCACTGTGTGCCTTCCAACATGTTCCTTTAGCCGTGGTTATGGATTTGCAGACACGTGTCCCAGGTTCACCCTCCCTGTTGGGGTCTCAGCTTCCTACTGCACTGTGGTAGGGGTGATGAGAGGATGTCTGCCCTTCCTCTCCTTCACCTGCCCTTCCCACCATCCTCACCGGTTCTTCTCACTGGCCACATGCTCCCAGCCACCAAGCCCGCTTGGCCCGCTGGGCCTCCCTTCCTGTGGCCCACACTCACATCATGTCCTCAGGACCCAGTTGGCCCTCTGCCCTCCCAACCTTGGCTTGTTTGGCTCTAAGCTGGGCCTCAGCAAACCCTCTGACTGCAAAGAGTCCCGAGTCAGGGCCTGCAAACAGGATGAGAGGCGTGATCCCCAAAGATAGGACACTTTCTATTCCGTGTCTCCTGTCAGGGGTGTGGGCCACTGGTTTCCTGGGATGGAATTTGTTGGTTCACATTAGCAGCGTGAATATTCCATACAGAACTGGACTTGGTCCGCCATCAAATTTCTTATTACTGAGATTCCTGACCACTCAAAAAATTACTGAATCTCAGAGCTGAAAGAGAACTCAAGCTGCATCCCAGCCAAGAAAAGGAAAATTACCCAAGTTGTTTACTTAATGTTTCAGCCAAGTTGCCTTAAAATGCATTTTAATTTGGGGTGGGGTTAGGGAGGACTGTTACCCTTTGGTCTTGAAGCATGGTAACGCTCACCCCTGCTCTCACTGGGCAGGGCAGTGACATGTCCTACCTTGTGGGTCCCCAGAGGGAAGATGACTGCAGCCAACGTCTGGAGGAACTCCGGGGCTCGCCAGGCGGGATCCTGGGGGTAGGTGCTGTGCACACAGCCAAGGAAATGCAGCACACTGGCAGGGAACGTCCGTTCCCAGGCGTCATCTCCAGAGCCTCCTGGGGGCTGAAGGTACACTTCATGAGAGGCCGAGCATGGGAATGTGGCTGGCAACTGCAGGGGAGCCAGAGGATCTGAAATCAAAGGCTTTCTGAGATAGTCAGCAGGACACCTAAATTGTAGACACCTAAGTCTGTGGGTTAGCCCAGGATACTGGTCACCAGTTGGGGGAGGGGTTAATATGTGCAGGCATTGTTACGGGGCTTCACACACATTCCTCTTCTCCCCTCACCACCACTCTCTACATTTACACCTATTTTACAGATGGGAAGACAGAGGCACAGAGAGGTCGGGTAGCTTGCCAAAGGTTACCCGACAGATAAGCGACAAAGCCAGGGATTGAACCCAGGCAATCCGGCTGTAATGTGTGTGTGTGTGTGTGTGTGTGTGTGTGTGAGAGAGAGAGAGAGAGAGAAAGAGAGAGAGAGAGCTTATGCTAAGAAAGTACAGATCACAATTTTTTCTCCTTTTAAAAACAAGAATGTATTTAATTTTTATGATATACTCTTTTAACATGTAATTAGGTGATTTTTTTTCTTTTAGCCACTTACCTATGATGAATTGCACCAATAGATTTTTTGCATTTTTGCAAAGAGCTCACTGAGTCACTCTGTTAATCTCTCAGTGGACTTCCTTATTCTGTTTGTAAATATTTTACTTATGATTTTGAGTACATATTTATAAATGATAGTGGGCTGCAGTTTTTATTTTATGTTTGTCAGGTTTTGTTATCAGTATTATGCTAGCTTTACTGATAAAAAAAAAAACCCTCTTCTCCTTTCTTTTTATTCAAGAAGATGTTAAATCCATAATTCTTATATTATTTAAGTTGCTCTTATGAAACTCTTGGGCTCCATATTTTTTCATTATTGCCTTGTTTAGGCTCTTAAATGTCTCTTTGATCTTGTTTAGGTAATATTTTATTCAGTTTGCACAAATGGTCTTTTTTAATTCATTTAATTTTCTATATGATTATTTCTCCCTTCTCTTCTGTTATGTGTAACTCATGCTCTCTTTACCCCACAACCTCTGACTATGTAAGGAGCTGACAACTTGTGGGTTGATTTAAACAACCATCTTCGGATACATCTCCCTATTTTTTTCCTGTCTAGTTCTAAGATTCTGATATTTGACATCTTCATTTCTTTGTTGCTGTTGCTTTCTAGAATTAATGTGATTGCAGTTTTAAAGACCTCTTGACTCATATTTTGTTAATGTGGTTAGAGTTTTTGTTTTTTATTATTGTTATCCACTTCATTTTGTTATGTCCTAGTCAGAGCATGTGAACTGTATACTTTCCTTCTTTGGAAAGCTTACTCATGGTTCCATTACAGACCTAATGTTCAATTAATTTTGGAGTCGGGTGCCTGAAAAAATACATATTTCCAGTTTGCAGCATAAAGAGTTTGTTACCTTTCTAACCAGTTAAGTTATTTTGAAAAAGCAAAAAAAAAATGAATAACATGAAAGCAGGTAAAACAAAGAAAACGTATAGTCTGCTGAGAGGAGTAAAAAAAAAATAATTATTATTATTATAATAAGACCAAGCATTTACATTACAATGTCAAACATAAAATGGTTATCTGGGGAATTACAGATGTGACTCTTAAACTGGGTCAAAAGCAAAGACCCCATAGCTGGGGCTGTGAGGACTGTGCTGGGGACTCCCATACAGGATGGTGGGACATACATTAGATGTAGGGACGTGTACGTATAATGTCTAATGCAACCTTCCTGAGAAGTGCGTCCAAAAGAAAACACATGAAGGTCACTGACTGACCCACTATCCAAAATCCAGAATTCACACTAAGGAGAATATCAAACTCTGTACAGAGAAAGGATATCTGCTCAAGAAAGTTCTTTACAGAGCTTTTATAACAGTGAACATTCTGAAAAACAACATAAATTTCCATGTACAAATATAGATAATTTCCAACAACATGTTGAGAGAAAAAGGCAAGAGGGGTTGATGTGGCCCAACCCTCTGTAAGGCTACGGTATAATCCTAGGTGTCTGGAAGAACATTCCCCTGAGGTTCACAGCGGTTATCTCTGCATGGGTGTGTTTCAAGTGATTTTTACTTTCTATCTTCCTCTTTGGTTAAAGTTGTAAAGGTAAACATGCATGGTCTTATAGAAGCGATAAGGTTTCCCCACACAGAATCAAGCCTCCAGTCACCATTGGGGTCTACAGAATGAAGTCAGAAGTTTTCAGCCTCCCATGCAAATTCTTGTTGATCTGGCTCACAGTTACTCCCATTCACAGGGAGCCTTCACCCCTCACACTTGCCTCCATGTCAAAAATAACCTCTCCACCTGCCTCTCGAGGACCCTGAAGTCCTGAGTTAACGGCTCTCCATGTCACGTATGTGGTTGGTGGCATCTGTCTTCTCTAACGGGTTTCTACCTCACAGCTTACCCATGTGTGAGGCCCACTTGTCATGGCGGAAATGAGCTTCTTGAGGAAAGAGGCCCCTTTCCACCTCCTACCAGTCCCCTGAAGCTCCTGACCTAAGCAGTTGCTCAGAAATGTTCCCCTGACTGAAGGCATTAAATCTCCCAGTGAAGAAACTCAAATATGTAAACAAATGGAAAATAGATGTTCTCTGGCAAGAGTGCGTAAACTCTACTGAGGACATTTAGACTGGGGAACCCACCTAGCCTCTTCTACCAAGCATTCTGAATAACAGTTGTTAATTATCAGCAAGGGAAACTGCTGGAAAAAGTCAAGGTGACTCTTTCAGATTTGTCTTCCCATCAGAACCTCCTCATAAAATGGGGGGCGGGAATGGGTCTCACCTGGCTCATGGTGGCTTTCAGCATTTCCAGGAGCAGCAGGATACCTTCAGTGCACAGCCCAGCCCGGAGGACTTCTTCATTGTGGTGCTTCTGCAGGAGCCACTGGAGCATGGCATCCAGGCTATCCTGAAAGAGGGGGCAGGGGCTATAGAGAGACCAATGGAGGCACACCAAGGGGACCGGCTTTCCAGCCAGCACACCGTGTTTCCCAGGGGGCCTGAGTGGGAAAGGCAAACAGCAGAGTAGCTGTACAGACAGCCTAGGTGGCTGGTCCGCGTAGAGAACGTCAGCCCACTCGGTGGTGCATAAGGGGAAGTACACGGCTCCGAGAAGATGCTGCAGACCCACCAGTGATTCACCTTGACTTCAGCTCTTCCATTTGGTTTGCAATCCCAGTCAACTGTCATGAATTTTTGTAAGTGAGACTAGAGAGGACATATGAGGAGTTCAAAGGCTTTGGGGAAGGTGCCGAGTGTAGCAGAGGGAACGCGGGGCTTGGCCAGCAGGGCAATCTGACTTTGCCTCTTTAAAAGCTGGGCTTATGCAAGCTATGAAGCCTCTTGGCAACTCACTTTCCTCCTCTGTAAAATGAAAATTACATTCTCTTCCCCATGGGATGGTTATAAATATCAAGCGAAATAAAATATGTAAAACATCTATCACGGGTCCTGACATTGAGGAGGTATTTGTTCCCTATGAGACATTCCCAAAGAAACAGAAATACACGGTTTTGGTGAATTTAGCACAGCATATTAAGAATTTTATTTTGAAGTGTGATCTCTAATACTATTAGCATATATCAAGGTTAAATAGGTCAAATATAAGGATGTCAAGAGAGGTGGATTTTCTAGCCTTCAGTTTACAGAGCCAAGCCCCTCCCCCACTTTCAATTCAGGGCAGTTTAACTCAACTCAGCTGAGACTGAGAAACAATTTTCTGAATCTGCTATTTGTCAGGCACCCAGGAAGGTGAGTAAGAAGTAGGGTCTGTACAAATGCATAGTATGAGATCCTTCTTTAGACAATAAATTTATTTATAAATAACTGTGTCAGTGCCATTAAGGGGAAGGTGCTAAGGCACATGGGAGCGAATGAGTCCCCTTGCCTAGGGATCGAAGCAGGAGGCGGAATCTGAGCTGAGTGCTGAGAGTCCATCCACCCCCTCACCAGGCAGGTGACATGGGAGTAAGAGCTCGTTAAAGGCACAGGGGAGGCAAGCACACAGCAGCTGGTCTTATTGGAGAGATGACTAAGGAGGTTCACAGGACAAAGGGTGGGCAAGCGAACATAGTGGGTTGGAGAGACAAGTGAGGCCCCCAGTCACAGAGGGTCTTGATGCCGGCTGTGGAGTCAGAACCCCATCCATCAGGGGAGCTCATGAAGCCTTGGATGTGGTGCAATGGAATGAGTGAGGGGCTGTTTGGTGAGAAGCTATACCTAGTGAGTGCAGGATCCTCTCTGGAGAAATTTGGCTAAAGGAGGACAGGAGGAGGATAAGTAAGACAGCAGTTGGTCAAGAGTGGGTGTCAAAGGGTCAGCTTCTGCATTTAGGTGGAGACACAGTTCACGTATTTATGGTCTATGAGGAAAGAGTCCATAGAAAGGGAGGTGCTGAAAATACAGGAGAAAGGGTCAACCCCTGGTGAGGTCACTCAGGAAAGGGGTGGAAGGAATCCATCAGCCTTTGCCAGCGACAATAGAGAGAAGGTGATGAAGAGGGTCATGGCATAAATAGGTGGTAGAAAGTGGGGTGTCAAGGCAATGCCCCTCCAGGATCCTCCACTCCCACTGTGAGGTAAGTCATCTGAGCACAGGGCAGCTTTGGGGCGGAAGACTTGAGAGCATATAGGGCTGACACTAAAATGCAGGGGAACTGAGGGATGCGGCTAAGGTAAAGAGACATGCTTTTTCAGAAGGCATAACCCGAGGCTCTAATTCTGCGGTGGCAGCATTCACTTCCCCGTGTCACCCCCATCATCATGTGACTTCTCTAGCCATGCCCAGAAGGAGAAAGGCTTAAAACCCAGACCTGCTGGCAGGGAGGATGGGAGGCAGAGGCCCAGGAGCTCAGGGGATCTGAAGAACTAGCCTAGGGGGTAGGAGTGCGAGGCAAGGAAGTGGGTCAAATGCAACACGAGTTGGAGGATGTGGACGGAGGCAGGGGTAGAGAATCTTAGGGAAGTGCCTTGGTCACATGGGATCATAAAAGCAGGTGGGTCACTCCATCCCGGGGGCACTCCAAGAACCTACTTTGGGCCCATCCGTCAGCTCTGTAAGTGGCGTCTGCAGAAAGAAGGTGGACACAATGAGGTAGACTTCCGGAATATGCACATGGTGGCCCAGAAAGTCCTTCAGGACGCGGAACCCAGGAAGCAGGCTGGGGCTCTGGTCAGGCGTGGGGGCCTGGCTCTTCAGGTTATCTGTTGATCAGGTGGAAGGGGCACAAAATCTAATTGAGAACAACTGCTATTGCTTCTGGTCAAGGTGGGGATTGGGCTAAGGAGTTCCCTGCCACCTACCCATCCCACAGAAATGCCAGATAGAAATATATGTCATATGTACATGGGCATAAGAAAGTATTCAAAAGAGTTCCTTTTCCTATTCCTGACATACACATTCATTCCTTCATTCGTTTACTCCAAAACAGATACTTATTTGGTGCCTACTACCTTTGAGGCAGTAGCGCAACTTTATACAAAACAATAGGGACATAGCTTTCAACAAAATATACAGAACCCCAGACCCTCACCAAGTACTTAGAATGTAGCGAGAGGGAGGGACATTAAGGAATTAAATACCCAAATAGACGCTTGTGAATTGTGACAAGAACCATAAAAAAAAAAAAAAAAAAGCAATAGGACAAAGAGAGTATAACAGAGGTGCCCTAATTCAGGTGGAACCCTCCTCTCCTGGAGGAAGCGACATTTGAACTGAGACTGGAAGATGGAACCGCACCAGCCAGGAGAGCCTTCCCGGTGTTGTGAGCTGGGGGAAACATCTCAGGAAGAGGAAAAAGGCTAAGGAACTTTTGAGGAATGGAAGGAAGCCCCCAGCATCTGGAAAGTAGTGAGGACAAAAGAGGATCCTGACCAGGAAGTAGGAGGCGACTGGGGCTTATGGGGGTCAGGGGTCAAGGTGATCCTACTGCAAGAGCTGTGAAGGCCCCAAGCAGGAAGGAGCCTGGCAGGTCCTCACTCGCAGGCCAGGATGAGGTGATGTCCCACCTCCTGGAGAAGGCCACACACTTACCTATCACAATGTCCACACCCTCCAAGCTGCGCTCCACCCAGGATCCCGCACACAGGCCATCTTTAAATCGCCCGCGGAGGGAGGGGCTTGCCAGAAAGTGCAGCAACAGTTTCAACCCTAGCACGGTGGTGCTGGGATGCACGTGGCCCTGCACGAGGAGCAGGAACCAGTCAGGCCCCAGGCTCAGAAACATCTCTTCCTTTGTCCTGCAGGGTTCAAGAAATGCAGTAAATTATCTCTTAGTTTGTCAGCAAAGATCACGTCCAAAAAATACAAATAATGTCCAGCCTCACTTGTCACCGAGGAGAGGCAAATTAAGGTTAACCTGGATATTACTTAGTGAAGTACATGTTATATTTTTAAAGGATGGTAAAATAAAATGCTGGCAAGGTTGCTGTAAAAGCCCTACTCCACTAGTACTCATACTTACCGGGTCTGACTAGCCACTCATCTAATTACATTAATACAGTCACATAAAACACATAATGGTTGGTTAACTCCCTTTTCAAATACACAGGTCAAAATTAATCTCAATGGAATAGTCAATATTTATGCATACTTATCAATTTAAGCAAAATACATGTTTAAGTGTCACATTCAAAAATGAATTTTAAAATGATGAGTTTAAGGGGCACCTAGGTGGCTCAGATGGTTAAGCGTCTGCCTTCGGCTCAGGTCATGATCCCAGGGTTCTGGGATCGAGTCCCACATTGGGCTCCCGGCTCAGCAGGGAGTCTGCTGCTCACTACCTCTCTGTTCTCCCTGCTTGTGCTCACTTTCTCTCTCTCCCTCTCTCTCTCTCTGTCAAATAAATAAATAAAAATAAAAATCTTAAAATGATGAGTTTGGAGAATGCAAACTTGCTAGAAGGGACTGGAGGATAGGGAGGTAGGCAACCAAACCTCAGGGGTAACGGCTCAGCAAAGGACTCTGCCTCCAGGGAACCAGAGTAGGATCAATCTTTACTGGGCAATGTTGTCAGTGCCAGCTGCCAGAATAGGGAGCGAGGCTGTGGCCACCAGACTAGGAGTCAAGAAACTGTCCTCTCTTCTATCCTGCCTCTTTTGACTAACTGGATGATTAGCAGGGCTCTTGATGAGCTATGGTCATTTTTCTTGATGTTGATGATGGTGGTGATGATGATGGTAGTAATGATGATGATAATGATGGTGTTGGTGATGATGGTGGGAAAGATAATAATAACGAGGGTGATGGTGGTGATGATGATGGTGATGATGATGATGGTGGTGATGATAATGATGGTAATGATGATGATGATGGTGATGATGATAGTGGTGATGATGGTGGTAGTGGTGATAATAGTGGTAATGATAATGATAATGATGGCGGTGATGATGATGGTGGTGGTGATGATAAAATGATGGTGGTGATGGTGGTGATGATGATGGTGAGGATAACGATGTTGAGATTATGATGGTCATGGCAGTTAGCTTATGTAATATTTAGAGTATCCCAGATACTGTGCTTAGGGCTAGCAACATATTAACTTCCCTCTTTAGCAGGCACTGATTTTATCCTCAGATATATGAGCAAAAGAGGGCATGGAAGGCTTAACTAACCTCCCCAGGGTCTCTGGAGGCAGAGCTGGGCTTTGAACCCAGAAGGTCTAGAGATCAGAGTCCCAGTGCTTAAGCACTACACTACATTCTCATTCAAAAAGATAAAAAAGGAAAGAGTTGGACTAGCTCACCTCCAGGGCAACTTCTAGTTCTACCATGCTTAGATTCTAGGAATGCAGACCTTTTAAGCATTACCTGCAAGGCTATTTTACTGAAGGGTGATTCCCTATCCCATTCCTACGTCCCCCAAATACATACACATGAAAATGTCAACTCAGTGGCAGCAAGGATCTGGACTGACTTCCTCATCACTGCACTCTCAGAGTGAGGAACAGTGTCTGGCACACAGTAGGTACTCAACAAATAGTTGTTGAACGAATGACTCCAGAGTTAGACATAAAGCAGGCAGTCGGGGGAGAGAGTTAATGGGATTTTATGGTTACACATTGTTTTGAAAGTTAATTGAAGGCAGATACTTCTTTTTCCAACTTGGAAAAATAACTAAAAAACTGACAGTAAATAGCAGAAGAATTTGGCAAGCCTTTTCCTTGATAGATGTTATTTAGGCTAACCATTTCTCCATTCTATTGTCTGCCAAGTACAGGACATCAAAATCAGTACTTGTCACAACTGCCAAAACAATAACAATTACACTATAGCAATGGTGACAAAAAGAGCTTATTCTCATTATACCAAATCTGTTCTGAGTTACTCATGCCCATTGCACATTTGCATCAGAATATCTCAGGGCAAGGTCTGCTTTATTGAGTGGAGAGAATATAATTTTCTTTCTGACTGGTGCAGGAAACACACTGCAGAAAACCGACTCGGAGATGCTAAACTTTTCATTAAGAAAAGGTTTTAATACTGCACCCTGTATGAGGCAAGCTCAGGCCAAATTGCTCTTCCTGGAGCTACTTACTCAGAGGACAGATGAAGTTGGGAGGAAGATATTACACTGAACAGCATCTCCAGCAACTGGTTTCTGAGCCAGATTGTCTTTCCAGATGTTTGGCTTCCAGCTACAAAAAAAGGAAATTCATATTTGAGAGAAAACGGATGGAAAGAGACATAATATTTGCCGCAGCAAGCAATCGTATTCACCAAACACTTAGTTCACTCAGGAATTTAGTCATAGATGAAACTCAAAATTTTAGCATTTGAGTCTAGAGTTCTATGCGATGCTTAAAAAGAATTTCAGGAAAGGTTCCTAAAGTTCCCTTTAACTGAAGATGGTTTTGATGCTTCCCATCACCACCCCCCAAAAAAATCCTAAAAATTAGGTCAAATTTATCTTCTAGTAGAAAAATGGTTTTTTCCCATTATCATAGACTGCAACATTTCTTGACCACCTACTACATGCTGGGCATTACAGGAGGCACTGGGAACAGAGTGGTGGAGATTTTTAGTACTCAATCTCAATTCCTCTTCTCGATGCTTTTCCAAGCTAGGCCTTCAGCATGCCGATGTCTCACTAAAGACAAAGCTTGAATTGCAGAGTCCAGAATGAAGTCCATGTAAGAAGGAGGGGTGACTAAATAAGCTTACTTTTGTCCCATTACCCATCATTCATTCACTCCCTTGGTTAGCCAGTTATTTTACAAACCAATTCAGGGCACACAAACCATGCTGCAGAAATAGGACTGATGAGGCAGCTTGGAGAAGTAGGGTCTGATTTCTCTCTACTTGGATTCTGTCCCCAAAGGTCTTAATCTCCCTGAGCCTCCATTTCCTCATCTAGAAAATGGGAATAGTAATTCCTACTATTCGGGTTTGACCTAAGGAAAAGAGATTTTTCTAGATCGAGTAACACTTTCCAATAGAATCTTTTGGGGAAAAAAAAAAAGAATGTTTTATATCTCCCCTGTCTGATACAGTAACCACTAGCCTCATGTGATTAGCGAGTACTTGGAATGTCACTACTGTGACCGAGGAACTGAACTTTTAATTGTATTTAACTTCTACCAATTAAAATAAATTTAAGTGGCCACATGTGGCTAGAGGCTTCCATGTTGGACAGCATAGATCTGGAGGGCCCAGGACAAAGTGGTCAGTGACTATTCCCTTCACACCTCCTCTAGCAGAAGCAGCATGACATAGCTCTTGTTCTGTGCCTGGTTGGGAGGAGAGAGCCTTAAAGAAACAAATCACAAACGTGTGCAATAGAGTAAGCCCAACAGTTTTATAAGCAAAGGAGGTGACTTAACTGGCTTGATGGGACCAGGGAGGCATTTCTGCCTCCAGTGGGTGAAGGAGGGACTGGGGTGAACAGGGGAAGCATTTCTGCCAAGGGAACAGCACAAAGCATGGCTGGAGGGCAGATCATCATACACTAGGATGTGTAGGGCCTTCAGAGCGCTGAAGTTGGGGCTCATCAGGGGAGCAAGGGTAGGAGAGATTCAACCAAGAAGGTAGGCAGGAACTGGATCATGAAGGATTCCACCTGTTGGCCTATAGTGAACCGAGTTTTATCCTAGAGGTCTTGGAAGCCATTCCAGGTTGTGAAGGAAGAATACGCAATTTGATGTGATTGCAACCCTACTCATAAAAACTATGACCTCACAAGCCCGTACTTGGGAACAACTGCTCAGTTGTGGGTATCTTCCCCTTCCTGTGACTCAACCCTTCCCTCTACAAAATGGCCCCATGAGAGGTGGCTCTCAAGGGGTGCCATAAGGCTCATTCTCTGCCTTCAGACTGGTATCTGAGAAAGGTCTTCTCACCAGGCACCGAGGAGTCCAGGCCCCCATCCACGCAGATCTGCCTCTCGTTCACCGAAGAAGGCTTGAGGGTGTACACAACAAACAGTCCAATTCTTAATGCAGAGAGAGAAGGATACTTTGAATGGTGAGCTCAACCCATGCTTGCTCAACACATATACAAGTTTTGTGCACAGATCCACCCAAATCAGTTTCAAGGGAGGGTATGAGGGGAATCATGTTATTCTGTGATCAATGCAGTGTATCCATAGACCTCTAAAATCTGTCCGGATTCATCAGAGCAGTTGGCTCTGGCTCTGCCAGATCAACGGAACAGATAGTGATGAGGAAGGGAAGGGCTAAATACCAGGTCAGCTGGGACTGTCCTTTGGGAAATCTGCAAAAAGCAGACCTGTTGGGTCGATGGCTGATGAGGATGACTGTGCTCATGGAAATTCTCGAATCATTGGTGTAATAAGTGTGTCTGAGCACCAGGGAGCAGTGAGCACATAGCCCTGCTGGGAGTCTAGCAGACCCGCCCCTTTCCTCAACTCTCTGCCCTGAACAGAACTTCTAGAAGGTTCTAAGGAAATGGAATCTGCCACTACACTGAAGGGTAATGTTGCTGGGTTGAGTGCGGTCAGGAAAGAACTGGGGCCTATATTCCCTTGTGAAATAGTCCCAAACCCCTGCCCGTCCCCCTGGGAAGCCTGGCACAGTACCTGAGCAAGTCCTGGATGCTGAAGTGGCCCCTCAGCTGACAGCCCAAGATGGCAATGATGGTGGGGATCTTGGAGAAGGTGAGGCCCGGCTCATTGAAGAGGAAGACGAGCTTGGGTATAAGCTGGGCCTGGTGAGCAACCTCAGCATTCCGGGGTCCTTCCCTGTGAGCCCAGGAGTAGAGGCAGTAAAAGCTTTTACTGGAATGAACCAAATTTGCTGTGTTTCTGCTGAAAAGGTTTCCTAGGCTGGGCTTGCTCTGTGGCCCTCTGACTCCAGTGCTCTCTTGGCAACTCATCAAAATGCTGTCAGACACCCATTGAATATGTGTCTGCCAAGTGCCAGAGCTGCTCAGGGATGAGCCTCCCGTGCCCTTCCACCCCCGGAAACTGCCTTCAAAGACAACCCCAGTTATTGACTTTTAAGTTCTAAGCCTCGGGGGAAACTAATGCCGGTCTCAGAAAACTCAGAAGGAAGACAGCAGACTCGCGAGTGACCGCGGAGCACTTCCCAACAGTGCGGAGCCCTGGGCGAGCCTGTCTGGGTGTGTGCTCTTCCTGCTCACCCCAAACCACAAAGTGGATGAACGCCACTGAGAGTCAAAGGGGAGAAAGACAGAATTCAAGCATCTGCGCCCTCCTTCTTAGAATAATCACAAATTCAATTTCCAGTAAATTCGACTCCCCCCAAAGAAAACAGCTCCCAGGATAAATGTCCATCTTGTAGAAACCAGTAAAGAAAGAAAGTGGGAAAGGGAAAAAGAAAGATGAAGGAGCAGGAAGTGGGGTGAGTGGCTCCTTCTGGAGCTGTCTTTTCAGGACTGATAGCATGAACTCTGACAGGCTCCACATCCCCGATACACACAGGGGCAGCACCAGACCCATTCTGCACGTGGTCTGTATGCATCCGCTTGCCAGGGAGAATGTGCACTCCTGGAGGCTCCCGCTGTGTTTGGTGCTTTCTTAGCACAGCACTGAGCAGCCCATTTGTCTGTATTCCTTCTCCACAGGACTGTCCTGTGGTTCTGAAACTTCCAGCGCTAAGAACTGGGTATGAAATGGAACGGGTTTGCTGCAGATACCCAGTGAGTGGCTGAGTGAAAAGAGGGTCACAAATCTATTCAAAACATCGAAGGCACTACTGATAAGCTGAAACAGCCCTCTGTGAGGAGGCAGGTGGCCGTGGGGGTGACCGGCCTGACAGGTAAGGAAAGAGTTGGGTTGTGAGGGTGGATTTCCTGCCTCCCTTCTCCTTTATTCTGATCCCAGTCCCTGGTTTTCTTTGGGGACCTACCATGTTCTAACTCCCCTCCATCCTTTCCAGAGGTGAAGTCATGCTCCGGCCAGGCCATGGGACCCAAGATGGCCCACTGAGACCCCATCCTATTGCTGAGACCAAGAAGGAAAAAAGAAGCCCTCTGTGCTACCTCTGTGGGCCGAGGATATGCTCTGAGGAGCTGCCCGGAGGCCATCGTGCCATCTGCCCACACGATGCCAGCGCGGAAGATAAGTTTGGACAAGACGGGTGACAGGTCTCAGATGAACCAGCGTGAACGCCACCCAGACACGTGTGAAGATCTGCCCCCTCCCAACCTATGAGCCAATAAAATCCCCTTTCTCAACCTTCGTTTTGCCCTCCCTCCTCCTTTCCTTTTTGCTTCCCTTCCTTCCCTCCATAAGTTGGTTTGAGTCGTATTTCTACCACTTGCAACCAAAAGAGCCCTGAACAATCTGAAAGTGACTCAGAAGAGTCCATTAGAGGGAAAATAGGTTGGGAGGTAAATGGGACACAGAGAAGTGTTTCTGTTTGTTGAGCCCCTGAGAGTGTGCTAGTTAGAGCTGGAGAGTCCCCTCCTGGGGCCCAAATCCATGCCTTACATCCATGAGCCAGTGGGAAGGACATTGCCACAGACTGAATGTCTGCATCCCCCCAAAATTCATACGTTGAAACCAAACTGTCGATGTGATAGTATTTGGAGGCATGGTCTTGGGGAGGTAAACAGGTCATGATAGTGGGCCCCTTGTGATGGGATTAGTGCCTTTATAAAACAGATCCCGGGAACTCCCTCACCCCTCCCACCAGGTGACATTATAGTGAGAAGACTGCTCTTAACCAGGAAGCAGGACCCTCACCAGACACAAAAGTCTGCCAGGGCCTTGATGTTAGATTTCCAGTCCCTGGAACTTAGAGAAATCAGTCTCTGTTGTTTATACACCATCCTGCCTATCATATTCTGTTACAGCAGCCCACATGGACTGAGACAGACGTGCTGCCCTCCGGGATCTCAGTGCTCTGGAAATGGGAGAAGGCCGTGGCTGCTGAGCTCCTAGCCTGTCCTGCCCCCTCAGTTCCCCGTCTCAGCATGAAGCCATTAGTTCTAGCCCCGACCCTGCCAAAACCGGGCCTACCTTGGTGATCGAAGGATTTCTGCAAGGTGGGAAAAGAGGGAGAGCTCCAGGCTGTCCGCGGTGTTTGTCCAGAGCTGGAGACAACAAGCACACAGTGAAACCAAGACGCATGTGGGAAGGGACTCTGGCCAGGGTACGCATGTATGGCCCTGCACCTGGTCTCCTTAGGCTTGAAACCACTAACACCATTTAGCAGCTCAGGAATCAGTGCAGCTCTCCCAACACCTACAACTTAGAGGCTGCCTTTCCCAGGGGAAAGCTCAGACATGGTTCCTCTCGTCCCTATCTCTGCTGTTGCCCAGTGCTTCAGTGCAAGTCTGGATGGGAACCAAGGACACCTGCTGTACCCTGTGCCTGGCCCTCAGCCCTGCAGCCCCTCTCGCCAGGTACAGCTCACCCTCACTGGAGCCTGGAAGGCAAGTGTCAGTCTTCCCAAGTTAGAGATGAGGAAACAGAGGCTGAGACAGACCCACTGAGGGACAGGTCCCTCTCACCACCAGCAAGTGGTAGGACTGGAATCAGAAGCTGAGTCTTGCCTGTCTGGTTTGATGCTTCCAGACAGATGCTACCAGATGCTACCAGAGTGGTTTGTGACCACCCACCCAAGTTGTACACGTATCACCTTCTTCAGCTCCCACCTCCATGAAACCCTCACGACCCACTGCGAGCTGCACACCAAAGGGAATGCACTCAGATTCCTAGAGTGAACTTTATTGCTCAGGTTGTTTCCATTTCCAGTGAACAAAATGCAGCTGCTGACCGTCCGGCCGGGGCAGAGTGGATGGCGTGCCTTCATGTCTCCAGTCTGCTCCCCTTGAGGCAGCACTACCCTTTCTTATTTCCAAATCCTGACACTTCCTAGGGCCAAGAATGGAGAAGGTTCTGACGTGGGATTGTAAGAGTGCACTCACAGGGCAGCTCAAAGAGCTCACACTTATAAAAGAGACTGTTTCCTAGAGGCAGGAAGTGCCCTGAGAAGTCCTAAAATGCTATCATTGTCTGCACGTAGTAGCTACGAAGAGTGAGGCTCAGAGAGACTCGGAAACTTGCCAGGCACCCCACAGTTTCTAACTGGCAGAGCCTGGCTTCCAAGTCTGGTCTGACTGACCATCGAGCCCACCCTCTTGCCTCCTCTCTGCGCTCTCCCCAGACATCTCCTCTAGAGGAAGAACAGCAGGGTTAATAATCGACCTCACTTGAATCAAGCAGGTGACCGTGGCTCCATCCTCTTACGTGAGAGTGAGAGCAAAAGAACCTCAAAGGACCCACGTTTCTGAGGAGGCCCGTGAAGGCAGGGACCACCCCTCTCTAGTCCCCACACATGCCACACAAAGGGCACTTAATAAGGACCCACAAAATTTTTTAAAAGAGTGAATGTAAAGTAAATCAAAGTAAAATAAGTGGTTTGCTCTTAAGCCAGAAGCCCACTAACAGATTCCCAGCTCCTGTGTGCTCAGCCACTGCCTGGCACATACAGAGGAGGGCAGCGGCCATTTGGGAGAGCTGGTGTGGGCTGATGAGGCCCCAGTATGGATGGGGGTAGGCAAGAATGGCACCCCAACATGCAAGCCCATAGGAGTCTGAGAGCCTGCACACTTGGAATGTTTATTCATAAAGTCAGTCATAGAGCAAATGTTTTGTCTGACTCGGTACCGGGAGATCTGAGACAGTGAGATCTGACTGACCAATCTTGTTTGGCCCTGAGCCCTTACCTTTCCCACAGAAGTGTATTCCCTGCTTCCTTTCCAGAGCATTAGAACAATAAGAAGCTGCCACACCACATTGGAGGCTGCCTAGCTCTTTAGAAATTACATAATACCAAGTATCTGGAATATGGAAAACATGGATAATTGAATCTTCTGGTTATTGTCCTGTGTCACATAACCTCTGTACTGAGAACTGCATCGAGATGTCTGGATCAGATTTCTTTAAATATCTAACGGATAATGCGTCAGATTTTACCCTCTCCCCACCCCTGGAACCACCAGGTTCTATCCTTTCTTCAAGGACCCTGAAGCCTCGACCTCCTGCCCCCCACCCCTGCTTCTCACTTCCTGTCTCTCCTCTGCTTCTCACCTTCTTGTCTCTCCTTGCTTCTCAACCTCCTGGCCCTCCCTTGCTTCCCAACTTCCTGTCTCTCTCTGCTTCTCAGCTTCCTGTCTCCCTCCTCCCTCTCAATTGTCTGTCCCAATCATCAAGCTTGGAACCCACCCTTTCTTTTGTAACCCACTCTTTTATCTCTAAACATTTTCTCTCCTTGAAGAACCTGTCCCATCAATAGTGATTCTCCCACTGGCATTTTTAACCATACTTTTCTGCTGCTTCCTCCTCCTCAGCCTACAACCAGACTCAGGACCCTTAAGTCTTGAAACTTTCTCCTTTCTATTTTCTTCTCTTTTTTTCTTCTTCTAAATGTCTCAACTCCATCCTCCTCCCTTCGCCTCACTTCTGACCCCAATACTTACATTTTTCTAGGCCTGTGAGTGACCTTCAGTTGACCTCCAAGTGACTTCCAAATTTTATACAATCCTACAAATTGCAAAACCTACAACTTACACATCCTTGCCCTTGCTTCACTAGATAGAGGCAGACATTTGGAAAAGTTCTCTTGTTTTTGAAATTTTGTCCTCCTAATCCTTTAATTTTATTTCATTTCATTTTGTTTTACCCTGTTTTTTTAGCTTCTGGTCTTTATGGGTGGCTTGTTTGCTTAACTCCAGCATTAAAAGCACCAGCTTACCTAAAAGTTTATTCAGGGAGGGGTGGGGTGGTACCCATGGTCATTCCAGGAGCAAGCTGTGGTTATGGGTAATTTCTGGGCCAGGCTGCTGGTGGACATGCTTCAGAGCCAAGCTGCTGAACTCAGCCACAGCATTCTGGAAGGTACAGGGGTGCGGCCAAGGCCTGCTACTTCTTGTTTATCAGGGTGGTGAAGTCATTTATGCCTATCTCCTTTCCTCTTATGCTCTGGGAGCCTATATTCATACCTGGCTGGCTTCCTGCATAACCTTCTCATCCATCTTCAGACCCAGATCCAGGACCTGGTTCGATTAGCTAATATTTTATTTAGGATTTTTGCAGCTATATTTATGAATAAGATTGGCCTGTACGTTTTCATTTCCCATCCTGTCCTTTTTTGGTTCTGCAATCAAGATTGGCTCACAAAATAAGCTGGGAGTGCTCTCTTTCCAGTTTCCTGGAGGAGTTGATAAGGCTGGAATGGCTCATTTCTTGACTGGCAGAACTTCCCTACAGACGGCCTGGGCCTGGACTTGCCTTATGGACATTGTTTGTTTGTAAGATTTTAAACCTGTGATTCTGTTATTTGATGGTTATGGGATCATTTGGGTTTTTACTTCTTCCTGAGTGAATTTTGGAAACAAATTTTCTTGGAGATTGTTCAAATGAGCTAAGTGTTCCCATTTATTGGCACCTAGTTGTTGGTCCTATTTTCTTGTTGCCTTTCTAATCGCTCATTCCTCTGTGGCTATGCTTCCCTTTCCTTCCTAACATTATTTAGCTGTGCCTCCTGTTTGGTTTTTTCCTCCCTCAGTCAATCTCAACAGCTCTGTCTGCATTATGAGAACTAGTTCTGGGCCTTGGTGATCCTTTCTATGTTTGTTTCTTTTCTACTTAAGTAATGTTCTCATCTTTTTTTCCTTCTTTCTTTCTTTCTCTGAATTTTGTTTTGTTTGTTTTCTTGTTTGGGGTTTTTGTGTTTCCATTTCTGTTTATTTATTCTAACTTCATCTAAAATTCTGTTCATTAATTTTAAATGTTCTATTTTCTAATACATATACACTGATGACTATACATTTTCCTCTAAATCTAGCTTTCAGCAGCAGCCCCCAACAGTGCTCTGTAATACACCGTGTTATACAGTGAGTTCCTTTCACTCAGTTCTTAATCACTTCTCATCTGAATGAACTTCATTAATCTTCTTTATCCCACCGTCTTTGCTAAAATTCAGGTTTCAAAATCTTCCACCTGGATTTCTGTAGCAATCTCATGATCCACTCTCCCTTGCCTTGGGCTCCTGCCACCAGAGTAATAGGCTTAAAATAAAATTCTAACATGTCATTCTTTAGTTAATATCCTTAGGTATCAGGAATTTAGCAAAACTTAGTAATAATCTAAAAATTATCTAGAAAGCCTTTATCCTAACAATTTAACTTTGATCATTTGTTCAAAGGAAACAGTTTTTAAAGCAGGGGAAATATATGCACAAAACAACAAAATAACATTTATTCAAAACAACAATATAGGGGGAAAATCTAAGACTTTGACAATAGAGGTACAGTGAAGAAACCACAAACTTGCTATAAGACAGATATTATTTGGATTCAGAACAAATCTCATAAAAGTCCATAACAAATGTTTTTAAGTGTGATGTTCTTATCTTTAACAAGCATTATTGGTGAGGGTCATTGAAGGAGTAATGATGGGAGAGTCGAAGAGCGTGGCTAAAACATTGAGCTTGCTGGGAGCCTATGAGATTAAGAAAGGGTATGATGTAATGGAGGGAACCTTGAATTCTTGATTAGACAGGTATCACAAATGCTCTTTTGGACTTTTAGTGACTTGTGTACAGTGGGACAGCACAGGTCACAAGGGATTTCCTAGCTCTCGTGTGTTTCTGGTTTTAGATACCTCCCTCCTTTACTTCCTGGTTCCATGTACGTTTCTCATCTTCCTTTCTCAAGCCCTATTTCCTCCCCATTTTGCCTGTCCATGGACCGGTGCTGTGTCTTTGTCACTGTCTGGTTCTTAGAGTCCCAGACTTTGGGAGATGAGCTCTAGGGGGCTGTTCTCCCTGTCTCTCCATCTCGTAATGAGATATAGTATGTACTCTTAACACAGGAGCATTTGGAACCGGAGTCTGAGTACGAGAGAGTAAGGGTTGTGCAAGTGACTGGCTTGGCTGATGGTTTCTCCTCCAAAGGTGTGGACTCAACAGCTTCCTAAAGTGGTCAGATGTGAGGCAGACAAATGGAATATTAGTGTCTTTTCCTTTTCATTAAAAGTGTTTTGGGGCACCAGGTTGGCTCAGTGGGTTAAGCCTCTGCCTTTGGCTCGGGTCATGATCTCAGGGTCCTGGGATCGAGCCCCACATCTGGCTCTCTGCTCAGCAGGGAGCCTGCTTCCTCCTCTCTCTCTCTGCCTGCCTCTCTGCCTACTTGTGATCTCTGTCTGTGAAATAAATAAATACAATCTAAAAAAAAAAAAGTGTTTAAAAGAAAAAAGAAGAGTCCATAACCAATATCTTTCATGTCTGTTATGTGAGAAAAGGCAGGACTTAAAATATGCCTATGCTATGATCATGACTATGATATAAAAATATATGTGTATTATGCATAGAAAGTACAAAAAAGCCATGCCTTAAAAGTTGACAACAGTCATCTGGATCTCAGATATCAAAGCTTCCACCCCCATTTTTCTGTACTTTTAAATATTCTATAATGAGCATATATCATTTTTAAATTTAAAAAAATCCATTTTTAAAATCCTTCCACAGACTGCAGCAGGGACTGGCTAACATGCACGTCCCATCCCGCAGCCTAGCATCTCTCACCTGTCTCCTTCCCCCTCCAGCCTCCCCTCTGCCTACAACACACAGCCTGGCAGGCACCCTCCAAGCCACTTGCTCTGAAATCTCCAAGGCTGTTCCCATCCTTCCTGTCTGCCAATAGCATACACTCCACCCCCTCTGAACACATTCCACCCCACCCAGCCCTGGAGTCCCCGATCTACAAATCTGACCCAACTGTGCTCTCACCCCAGCATGTCTCCAGGACGTGGTCAGTGCCTGCCCCCAGAGGCACTCAGTAAATGGTGTTTTGTGACTACAGCAATCCAGCTGAAGCTCTGTGCAGTACCCCTCATCTAGCCTCAGTCCTGCCCTCAGGGTCTCTCAGTCAGCACTTTTAAGGAATATTTGTCAACAGCAAAGCACCATCCAAAGGGAGCAGAGCATATATTTTTTAAGCCTATCTATATCTATATCTACATCTACATCTACAGCTATATCTATGTCTCTATATATGGTATCCTCCAGTTTTAGAATCCATTCCCAGATCCTATCTGGTTTGACCCCCCCGCCAGCCTGTGTGAGGGACATGATGCTTCCCATCTCATACACGAGAAGACTAGAACTCAGAGAAATTAAGACACTTGCCCAAGGCCACACAGTCCATTGATGGGCTCATATAAATTATAAACCCAGACCTTCCCGGCTCCAAAGCTTTTGAGGTTTTCCTTCTCTCTGCCCCCATGGTTACTGAGGAAGCTGGCCTGAGTTTAGAGGAAGCTCCAGATGTTCTTTACCATCACACACACCCACTCCTTCAGGGCTAATGGCCAGTCTCCAGTTTACCTCAAAATTGCAGAGGATGTGTTGAAAGACGCCAACGTTGGTGACAGCAGATGACCCGAAGCCTAGCTCTGCAGTGCCAGCAATCGAGAGGATGAGCTGAAAAATTCGATGGTTTAGGAGAGAGGTCTTTTTCCTCAGGAGAAAAGCCATTATCTGAAAAAGTTAAAACACAAAGCAATTTCCTCATGAATGCATCACTAGAACTCTTTCTCCTTCGCTTGCTTGTTCCCACCAGTACCTGTCATCTGCTCAGCCAGCAAGTCCTCTGCTCTCTGCTGTTACCTCCTTTATTCCCATGTTCTCAGAGGAAAAACACACCCCAACTTCTGTGTCTGCTTCTGACCAGGGTCCACTTTTCTGTACTTGTGTATGTGTGTACTTGACCTCTCACTAGGGACCCCCTGCTTCTTCTTGAACTCCCCCACTGTGTTTCCAGAATGCCATTCTCTCTTGGTTTCCCTCTACATTTCTTATTTATTTATTTATTTGTTTGTTTCAGAGGTAGAGTGATTCATCAGTTGCATATAACACTCGGTGCTCATTACATCATGTGCCCTCCCTAATGCCCATCACCCAGTTACCCCAACCCCTACCCATCTCCCCTCCAGCAGCCCTCAGTTTGTTTCCTGGAGTTAAGAGCCTCTTATGGCTTGCCCCCCTCTCAATTTTCATTTCATTTTTTTTCCTTCCCTTCCCTTATGTTCAATCATTTCTTAAATTCCACAGATGAGTGAAATCATAGGATATTTGTCTTCCTCTTACTGACTTATTTTGCTTAGCAAAATACTCTCTAACTCCATCCATGTCATTGCAAATGACAAGATTCCATTCTTTTTGATGCCTGAGTAATATTCCATTTTAAACACACACACACACACACACACACACACACACACACACACACACTTTCTCCATTCATCTGCTGATGGACATCTCGGTTCTTTCCGTATTGTGGTTATTGTGAACACTGCTGCTGTAAACATTGGGGTGCATGTGCCCCTTTGGATCGCTATGTTTGTCAATCTGTTTGTGTGTCAAGGCTGTCATCATCAAGACAGTGTGGTACTGGTACAAAAACAGACACATAGATGAGTGGGACGGAATAGAGAACCCAGAAATGGACCCTCAACTCTATGGTCAACTAAACTTTGACAAAAAGGGAAGGATATCCAATGGAAAAAAAGACAGTCTCTTTAAGAAATGTTGGGAAAATTGCATAGCCACATGCAGAAGAATGAAAACAGACCATTTTCTTACACCATACACAAAAATAGACTCAAAACAGATGAAAGATCTAAATGTGAAATAGGAAACCATCAAAATCCTAGAGGGGAACACAGGGAGCAACCACTTTGACCTCAGCCACAGCAACTTCTTGCTAGACATATTTCCAAAGGCAAGGGAAACAAAAGCAAAAATGAACTATTGGAACTTCATCAAGATAAAAAGCTTTTGCACAGCAAAGGAAACAGTTGGCAAATCTAAAAGACAACCTACAAAATGGGGGAAAATATTTGCCAATTATTATCAGATAAAGGGCTAGTGTCCAAAATCTATAAAGAACTTATCAAACTCAACATCCGCCCAAAAAACAAAAAATCCAGTCAAGAAATGGGTAGAAAACATGAACATTTCTCCAAAGAAGACATCCACATGGCCAACACATACATGAAAAAATGTTCCATATCACTCAGCATCTTGAAAATAAAACAAGTCAAAACCACAGTGAGATACCACCTCACACCAGTCAGAATGGCTTAAATTAACAAGTCAGGAAGTGACAGATGTTGGCGAGGATGCAGAGAAAGGGGAACCCTCCTACACTGGTGGTGGGAATGCAAGCTGGTGCAACCACTCTGGGAAAGTATGGAGGTTCCTCAAAAAGTTGAAGAAAGAGCTACCCTATGATTAAGCAATTGTACTACCAGGTATTTATCCTCCTGCATTTCTTTGTGCTCTTTCTCATTTCCCTTTACCAAATCCTGCATTCATAACCATCCAATAAATGTTGCTGTGTCACCAGGAAGCCACCACATCCCCATGAGCCCAGCTGCACCAGCATCTTACTTTAGGCTGCAACCACCCAGTGTGCCTTTCTGCTGTGCTGGGCCCAGGGAAGCAACAACATATCAGGATGGAGCCACTGGGATCCCAGGGGTCCAGACCCAACTCAGAGACTAATGAGAGGGATCCCACTTAGCCTTATGTCTCTGTTGACCTCAGTCACACAAAATTCATGTTGCCTACCCATCTACTGTACCTGGGTTCTCACCCGTCTTATCCACCACTCAATTCCCTAAGCCTGGATCTGACACCATCCAGCCATTCACCCTGTCCTCCCAGATATCCTCTCCAATGTGCTATTGGGCAGTCTTGCTTGCTGGTATAAACTGCATGTTTGTGTCCTCCCCAAATTCATGTGTTGAAACCCTATCCCCCAATGCAGTGTTATTTGGAAATGAGTCCTGTGGGAGGTAGTTAGAGTTAGAGGGAGTCATGAGGGTGGAGCTTTATGGTGGGATTAATGCCCTTGTAAGAGTCACAAGAGAGCTTGATCCCTCCCTCTGTCATGTGAGAATACAATGAGATATTGGCCATCTGCAATCCAGAAGAGGGCCCTCATCCAATCTGGCCATGGTGGCACTCCGATCTTAGACTTCCCAGCCTCCAGAACTGTGAGAAATAACTTTCTGTTGTTTACAAGCCACCCAGTCTGTGGTATTCTGTTAAAGCAGCCCAACTGCCTAAGATGACCCATGATCAGTGAATACTCATTATCTTTCCAGACTGCTCCAGTCACTTCTTAGCTATATCTGAAATCTGACCATTCCCCACTCCCTGATCCAGACATAATTAGGATGGCTGAAAGTTGCTTGAGAAAAATTGCACATGCAGGCTGACTGGTTTCACTTTGTAGTAATAGTGTCAAATGCCAAAGTAGTCCCCATTTGGCCTGGGGGTCCAACTCCGTTTTTCTAGTAAGCCTGTTTTCTTCATCTTAAAGATGAGACTTTCATCTCTTCTCCTCTCTCCCCAACCTCCCTTTGCCGCCACCACCCCACTTCACACTCCGCTGAGAAGATAGAACCTATCAGACATGAACGCTCTCATCTTCCCATACCAGATCCACTGATGCCTGCTCGCACTCCTTCCTGTCCTAAACAGGGTCTCCATCCATGTGGCCCCTGGAACACACCCTTCACCTTCTCGAGGACATGGCCCAGTGGGAGAGCTTTTCTCTCTTTCTCCTGTTACTTCTTCCCACTGACAAAAATGCTCTAATATTTCTCATCTTTAGAACCCTCCCAACCACCCTGAGTGGCTCAGTCAGTTAAGCATCTACCTTCAGCTCAGGTCATGATTCCAGAGTCCTGGGATCAAGTTCCGTATCAGGACTCATCCATATCCCTGCTGCCTAGCTCTTAAGAGATATTCGGTCAACATGAACTGAGTACATGGATTCCATGCATGGGCCACTCCTTGTCTCTACCATCTCTTTCTTCCTGAAAAACTAAAGCAACATAGCCCCATATGTGATGTTGACCAACTTTGTAGCCATTATCTGTAACCACATTTTCTGTAGCCACCTCTATAGCACATTATCTTTCTCAAGGCACTCTGCTTAGGCCAAGAAAACATTCACTGACAATTCACAGTGCCCCAAGGCCCTACACTTAGTGGTGGGGAGGCCACAGTGAACATGAGTGAGAGTTCCAGATCTCCATGAACCTGGAGTTTCTGGGAGGATGGCTGGAGAACACCCAAGTCACAGAAAGCCTGGTAGTTCTGGAAGATAACCTCAGACACTTACTACATTCAATGTATCTTAAAATTATCTTGGTACTAAAAAAAATTTTTTTAATTTTTAAAAATTTAAAATTATCTTGGTATTTGTCTTATTTTATCCTTCTAGGTAAACCCCCAAGAACAGGAAGTGCTATGTACCTTTTTGGAAATGCTCACAATAATAGCCCAAATGCCTAGTCACAGCAGATCTGCATGGGCTGAAGTAGAACACATGCCACTACAGCTGCTTTTAACAACATGATTCAGAGAAAATTTTAATATTCCCAAAGCCCCAATTCTTGAGTTTTAACATAAACCAGACACACCCATTCACTAATTACCAAAATATTTACTGAGTATCTGTTTGGTGTCAGTAATATACTGGCAAAGAATAAGGAAACTCCCATGCCTTTAGACAATTACAGTCCTGTAGAGATGAGCAGAGGCATAATTACAGCACTGGGTAAGAGCCTGAGACCAGGCACATGCGCAGTACCAAGGACAGCTAGGATACAGCTGCACACTCAGCTCAGGGCTTAGAAGAGAGATCCCCTTTGCCGTTGGAGCTTGACCTGGGGAAGAAAGGGAGGCAGTGCTCCAAGCCCAGGATATAGGTACACAAAGTAATATGAGGTAGTTAGCAATCCAGGACCATGCAGGATTCAGGGAGGAAGTTTCACTGGCTGGGCAGGAAATGGGGCTAAATGGGGCTGGCAGAACAGGTTGGCGGGCAGTTTTTAAAGGCCTTTGAATCCAGTATAAGGAGTCTGGGATATTCTACCAGTGACTGGGTACCTTTGAAGGGTGTGGACAGGAAAGAAGGATCATCGAGTCTGCAATGTAGAACTATGGCTGGTATCAATGCGATTGAAGGAAGAAGCAGAGGGAATGGGCCACTGTCCAGCTGGGGCAGCAGTCTAGGCAAGAGGGTGTGTGCCTGAGAAGCTTTCTTCTTCTCAGACCCTGACTTGGGGGCCAAAGAGACAGGAAGGCTTTCTCTTAGCTCCTGTTGTACCCAGGAGGAACCACCATGGTCTTTGCACCCCAGTGACATTGTCTAGACTTTGACACTAGTCCTGCCCTTCATGATTTCCTTCCAGCCATGCAGGAAGGTACTCAAGGGCAGTGACGTGTCTCGGGTGACCTTACAAATAGTAAACAGCATTAACAATCGCAGTTACTCTGAGCGGGTACTCTTCTGAACACTCGGCATGTATGAACTCACTTAATCATCATAGCCCTACAAAACAAGTGCTGTTATTATTCCCATTTTACACATAGGGGAACTGAGGCTCAAAGAGAGTAAGAACTAGAGATGGCTGGCACTTATAGAGCCCTTATTCTGCACAGCCATAATATGCAGCCATCCACTTGAATTAAATGATCTAGTGCTCACGACAATTCCAAGACACAGGATAGGAGATTGTCCATATCATATTATCAAGGAAACTGAGGCAGTGAGGGTAAGTAACTCATGTAAGGTTAAGTAACTCATGTGAGGTTACATAGCAAGTTTGAGGAAGAGGCAAGATTCAAACCCAGCACCCTAGTTCCTGCACCCGGGCTGCTAGCCATCATGTCAGCCATCATGCTAGCAAAGCAGGTAACAGATGATTCCTGAATTCAGTGAAAGGTACCGGTATACAGGTGAGCACCCCCATTCTGATCAGAGTCCCTCTCTGCCTGGCCATCCCCTGGCCCTCCGCTGTGGTGACACTGGCTTCAAGACCCTTCCCTTGGTTTCCCTTCTCCAGAAGTTACCCTGGAGGGAAAGTCCCCTAGGGCCAATGAGGCTCTTCTCTACTCCTCAGGGAGTTACAGGCTCATAGGGGAGGGTGGGATTACCTGGTACCCACAGATGTGCTGCATTAGGTGATCGCACATGACATTGCTGGTCAGGACAGAGTGCAGGACTTTCACGGCCGCGTACATGGTGTGGTCATCTGTCGCTAAGGAAATGAGGCCCAGGAGGATGGTGGGCCCGCCAATGAAGTCCAGGCTGCTGGCTGCCGGGATGGAGTGGAACACCCTTACGCCTGTGTGAGACAAAGGGGCATTCCATCAATACATCACAGCTTCAGGGCGATGGCAAGTCCCCTGGAATCCTGCAAGGACACAAGGGGTGCCAGTGCCACCGTCCACCCAGAGTAGAGGCACCTGTGCACCTAGGACAGGCTGGGAGCGGGAGAAAGGATGGAGGTTCGAAAGTCTTAGCATCCTGAAAAATCCTGCACTGAGTTCTTCCTGGCTCTCCAAAAGGCTGAAACAGCCCAAAGGATTTCTGATCACTGCCTTTGTCTCCATCCAGACTGCTGGGAGAGCCACAAGCTCTCTGGGCCTTGGGGTGCTGGTTGCGACAACCCCAAGCTCTTGTCTGTGCTCTAGATCCTGTAAGATCGGACTTTGTACCAACACCCTGCTCTGCTCTTGCCCAGCTGCATGACAAGCAGCAGTCAGTGGCTATTTTTACCCAAATAACCACAACCATTGCCTCTGTCAAAGGGCACCCCCCACAGCCCCATGCACACTTGACAGGCCCCACTGTGCATAGATGCCAGCCCGGTTAGTAGCTGAGTTCACTGGCAACTGGCAAATGCGGCAAGGTGAACTGATCTCCGTGCAGCGTGGCAGGCTAACTCGCCAACCCTCACCCTCGCTGGGAAACCGCTTAGAGGTCCAGGCTGCACAAGCTATGACAGCCACATGCCCATCTTCCCAAACAGTAGCAAAAGGGCAAGACCTCACCTACCTAAATGGCCCACAGCCACAGCGCCAATGGTTCGGAGAGAACCCGAGAGGTGGCCAGCACAATTTCTTAGCAAGAACACAGGTGTGGCATTGTCACGGGATGAAATGTTCATCTAGAGAAATGAGCAACAATCAGTCCTAAGAAATCTTCTGGAATGGAAGAGCTTTTATTCACAAGGTCCTGGAGGGCAGGCACCCCAAGGCCTGGTCCAGTTTTGGCACCCAGTAAGAGAAAGTCAGTGAATAAATAATAAGTGAACCAATGTCAGGGAGACTGACGTCAAAATTTGGGTTCCCATGCCCCACCTCCCAGGCTGTGGCTGAGTCACGTGGGAACAGCTCTGGTGGTGCAGTCGTGCCACAGATGTCCCACAGGTCACAGTGAAGAGCTAATGAGGGAGAGGTGGACCCAAGAACATGTGGAGATGGGACGGTGCCACGAAAACCAGGTTGCCTCCTTCCCAGTCCAGGCTGTCCAGCCGCTGCAAGGCCAGGCCTCACTGGTCTCGAAGGGCTAGGCAGATGAGTGTCTGGGGTACTCTGTGGGTAAAGGCACAACTGAGGTGCTCAACAAGACCTCATCCCTTATATACTGAGCCTCTTTAGTAAAGGGAGGTGGCCCTCTGTCTGTGAGGATGGAGAGAATGTAAACAAATCAGCCCAAATTCATCAGCATTAAGCAAAAGACCACGTTCTGCAGGGATTAGGAAATACTTCATCTACTGGCAGCTTCCTCTACAAACATGTCGGCTTGCTGTTTGCGAGTTGGCTGTTTGAAATAAGCATGGCACCTCACAGAACATTTTGCAGGGCTGGGGAGTCAGTAGCATCCAGAAAAGAGAAGCTCAATCGTGTTTTCAGGGTCACAAAGGTTTTTCAAGTTCCATTTGTTCCTGTTCTCCAGTGAAGAATACAGAGCATCCGCTCTCTCTTCTGAGCATTCCAAATAAAAGCTTTAGTCCCAGGAGACCCGAATGGGTGAAGAGGCATGTGTTATTTTAACAAATGAAATGGGCAGCATGCCTGTGTGAATCTGTCGGCGCGTGCATGTTTATGAGTTTGCGTCCACTTAAGCACTGAAAGCTGAAGCAAGCTATGAGGTCATGATTCCAAAAGGGGGCAACAGGCGAAGGCAGAAGTCGTACCTCTTTGGCAATCAGGCGGCTGTCCACCTCACTGTAAGTGTTTCTGATGTCTGTAACCCTGGTGGTGGAGGAGCTGGCTAAGTGAAGGCCAAAGGAAACCTTTTCCTCAGCAATGAGGGGCGTCGCTTCTATATCAGGGTCCACTCCTAGAACAACACAGCTTTGATCATTTCTACTGTCTCTATAGAAGAGAAAGTACGAGCTCAGTAAAATAAAATAGCTATGGCTATATGGTGAAGCTACCACTGAGAGGCTGTCTTATGTTGTTTGAGTGTATGTTTATGTCACATGTTTGCCCCTGTGGTTCTCTGACACTTACAGGACACTGGATAAATCTCACAGGATTAACCCTACTATAAAATAAGGACACCTGGGGTGTGAAATTACTAAGGCTTGAAGCATCTACCAAAGAGATGATATAACCTCATCCTCCAAAACCAAAATGCTAAGTGATAAGAAAGCTGACTTAAAAAAAAAAAAAGAGAGAGAGAGACTGGGCTGAAAGCCCTAATATTTTCAATGAGCTATATGCCATGGTGAACATTACACTTGGAATGCGCACCCTAGTCCCCGGGTCAAAGAAAGCCATGTGTGCTAGTGGAACTGCACGGCCTGAATAGGCAGTGAGCAAAATTTTGGCTCGAGACTTGACCTCATCCCATGGCTCTGGCCAGTGCCATCTGCCAGAGGAAATGGAAGCTTGAAGAAGACGTGGGGCCTGGAGACAGAAAAACTCTACAGTGCTCAATTGCCCTTCACTCTGCGCAAGGCTTCTTCTGTACATAAATTCATCCATCATTCTTCCCAGATGGGAGCTGACCCCCTTGACTTGATAGAGCACAGAGAGCAGTACTCCCTACTTGAACAGCCAGCAATCAATAATGGAAATGTGGATGTTTGTCTGCCTGTTTAATAATTGAATACAACAGTATACTTTAGTTAAAAAGCTTCTTCATTAAAAGGAATGTAACTTATTTATCGCATTCTCCTCTCTCTTTCTTTGCTGATGGTATTACCCACCCATTCTCCTCCATTATGGGCTTTGGAGTTGAACTCTAAAGGATATTGTCATTTCCTTTTCTGTGACATTTTCTTTTGGGTTGTAAATTTATAATGATCCAATTACAGAGGTCTTCCCTAATGACTGACCTATACTGAGTTTATTCTTTATAAATATGCTATAAATAACTAGATGTCCATTTAAAAAAATAATATCAGTGAGATCATTATAAATCAAAACACTCTATACCTTGAGCATGCACAGCTTGGAAGTTACCACAGTATCTTGGGCCAAGTTTGTTAATAACTTCCAGAGTGTCCACTGAGATGGCTTCTTCAAAAAGGTACGTAGGCCCAAGACGCCATATTAATGATGACTTTTGTTTCCAAAGTCGAGGGGTAGCAATATATCCATAAACATCTACAAATGAAGATGGATCCATTGAAAGGAAAGGCCCTGGTAAGGCCTGAATATACAACATCTGTTAAAATTAAAAGGATGGGGGTAGGGGTAAAGAGAGAGATTTAACCTCAGAATTAATCAAATAAACACTCATGGATATAAAATGATATACCTTACACTCTAAAAGTAAAAGCTTATTTCATCTACAAACATTAAAAAGCTCACTCTCAAAGCTGAGAAACAATGCAGGAAAGCAGTTTACAAAATGTTGCTGAGAGTAAAAAACTGACACTGTGTCTTTGGAAACAAATTTGACAAGGAATATTAAGAGCCACTAAAATGTTTATCTTTTCTGTTCCAGTCATTCCATTGAGAATCTAAATGTCCAGTATTTGCACACCCATTAAGTTTTATGTACTAAATAATTACAGACATATCCAAATAGAAAGGAAGAAATAAAATCATTTCTATTTGCAAATAATATGTCCATGTGGAAAATTCCAAAGAATCTACCAAAAAAAAAAAATAAGGCGTAGAAATAATAAGTGAGTTCAGCAAGGTCACAGGATACATTATCAACATACAAAAATCAATCAAATTCTACAGGATAACAATGAACATGCAGAAACCAAGATTAAAAACACTATCATTTACAATCACTCAAAAGAAAATGAAATATTTAAATGAAAAGTGTATGAAATCCATATACTAAAAATTCAAAAATGTCGATAAAAGAAATGAAAGAAGACCTGTATAAATGAAGAGGCACACCATGTTCACGGATAGGAAAACTCAACATAGTAAAAATATTATTTCTCCCTAAAATGATTAGGTCAATGAAGTTCTTATCAAAATATCAGAAGGCTTTTATAGACACACACAAGCTAATTCTAACATTTATATTTGAAGGTAAAAGCCCTAGAATAACTTAAACAAATAGATTAATTTTTCTTTTTCAAAAAATAAGAGTGATTTTGATTATTATTTTTTTTTTGAAGGAGAAGAATTAAGTGGGAGGCACCATTTTAATCAATATTATTACATAGTTTATTACATAGCTACAATAATTAAGATAGTGTGGTATTGGTAAGGGTATAGTCACATAGATCAGTAGAACAGAATATAGAATCTGGAAATAAATCCATACAAATGTGCCCAACTGATTTTTGATGGAGGTTCAAAACCAATTATGATAGCCTTTTTAACCAATGTTGTGGGAACAGCTGGATATCCCATGGGCAAAGAAATGAACTTCAACTTAAACTTCACACCTCCTATAAAAGTTAACTCATAAGAGATAACAAATTTAAATATAAATCTAGAAAACTTTTAGAAGAAATCACAAAAGAAAATCTTTAGGATCTAGTGTTAGGCAAAGAGTTCTTAGAGTCAACACCAAAAGCTTAAGTCATGAGAGGGAAATCTGATGAATTATACTTCGTCAAAATAAAAACTTTTGCCCTCCAAACTCCTATGGGAAAGAAGATGGAACACAAGCTACTGACTATGAGAAATTCTTTGGCAAATCACACAACAGAGGACTAGTATATAGAATATATAGAAAACCCCTTAAAACTCAAGAAGAAAAACAATCCAATTAGAAAATAGCCACAAGATATGAACAGACATAACTTAAGAGGATATACAGATGTCAAATAAGCACTTAAGAAGATTTTTAATCTCATTTGCCATTAAAGAAATGCAAATGAAAAACACAACGAGCTATCACTACACACCCATCAGAATGGCTAATACGAAAAATAGTGACCACACCAAATAACAGAGAAACAGGATCACTCATCTGTTGCTGATGGGAAGTGTAAAATGGCACAATCTGGGAAAATGATTTGGCTGTTTCTTATAAAACTAAATATACAATCACCATATGACCCAGAAATTGAACTCTTAGGCATTTATCCCAGAGAAATATGGACTTAAGTTCACATAAAAACTTGTACACAAATGTTCATAGCAAAACAAAGAAAAAACAAAAAGGGAAAAAAATGTTCAAATCAGCTTTATCTGTAATATCCCAAAACTGAAAACAGCCCAAATGTCCTTCAATCAGTGAATGGTTAACATATACATCCATATCATGGAATACTACTCAATGATAAAAAGGAATTAAATATTGATGCACAGCAACAATTTGGATGAATTTTCAGAGAATTATGTTGATTGAAAAATCCTCCTAAAAGACCATATACTGTAGAGTTTCATATATACCACATCCTTGAAATGACAACATTCTAAATTCTTGGTTGCCAAGGTTAGGGAAAGGGATAAAGGAGGCAGGTGTGAGTGAGTGGGAGTGGCTATATTTTAATTTTTATAAAAGGGCAACACAAGGGACACAAGGGAGCATTGTAGTGACATAAACATTCTGAATCTTGACAGAAGTCATGGCCATAGGAACCTACACATGTGATAAAATTGTGTGGAACACATACACATATACACAACTACAAGTAAAACTGGGAAATCTGAACAAATCAGCAGATTGTATCAATATCAATATTTTGGTTATGAAATTTTTCTATGGTTTTTTAAGATGTCACCATTGGGGAGAAACTGGGTAAAAGGTACACAGGATTTCTTGCTATTATTTCTTATAACTACATGGTAGCCTATAATTATCTCAATAAAAATTTCAATAACGTAAAAGAAAACTAGTTAACAGAGTATCACAAATTTTAAAATGATAATTTCAAAGTTTACACAGGTAAAAATACTTTAACTACTAGTAAAAATTAAGTAATATATAATATTTTCTATGCAATAAAGTCACAGCTATTTTTCTAAAGGGAAAAAAACTAAAAGAAACTACAAAGTATGGTAAGATAGAAGGAATATAGGCATTCTTTCTTCTTTTCAATATTTTTCAGGTATTTCAAAATGTGTTTATATAATTTTTATAATGACTATGAAATCACTATATACACATTTATGTATATAAATATACATTTTTCAAATGAGGGGTCATACAATTTCAGAAATAGTCTTTTTCTCTCTACCAATTAAATGAGATTTTCAAACAAGAACAAACCAAGTTTTCAGTCACCAGACCTGCCTAAAGTGGGTCCACTGTGCTCTCTCCTCCTCTCCCCTCGTGCCAAGCAGGGACTTCTCTCTCTCCCACACTAAAGCTCTGCCCCACCCCTGCAATCCAGCTTGTCTTTTTTCCCAAATTCCTACTGCCTTTACTCACTGCGCCATCTGCATTGATTTACAAACATAGATGTCTCAAATTTCTCCCACATCATCTTGCTCAATTCAAGCTGTTGAACTATTCCCCACCTTCCAAAATTTAATGTATCTTCCCTTGGAAATTAAAATAAAGGCTCTAACATTAGAAAACCATTGTTAAGCTGGGTCATCCATAACCTAAACTCTCCCATCTTGTTCTTGCTCAGCAGATGTCTGCCTCTAAACACAGGCCTTCACATTTATTCCAATTAAATTTCACTTGCTGATCCTGAACCAACTTGAAGTCATCTTGGAAAAGTCAACTCTGTCTGACTCTACTCTTGGTCATTCCCCACAGCATATTTTGGCATATTCCTGTGGCCCCACACCACTGCCAACCTCCTGCTGACTAACTCTGGCTTAGCTGGTCCCATGAGGTCAGTTCTTCATCCATGGACCAATTCACTCAACTATGCTATCATCCAGTCTGTCTTACTCCTTGTGGCTGTAAATTCAATGCAATTCACTGAATACTTATTGCATGCTTACTGGGTGCCGGCCCCTGTGCTAGGTGCGAGCAAGGTCCAAACATCAACAGGACTTGTTTCTTAGCCTCAAAGTCCATGAACCATTTCACAGAATACCAACCTATTTTGGAAGACAAAACAAGAATACTAACATGTTTTGCAAAAGAAGAAAAAAACAAGCCCACTCTGTAATCATGCCTAAACAGATAATAACAAAGACACCACAAAACTAACCAGAGTTCCATCCTGGCTAACATGAGTGATACTGCTTTTTTCTCCAATGACAACTCTAACCTGCTCCATTCCTCCCACTTCCTGGATAAAAGTTGTGAACATATGCAGACATCAAAGTCCCTCTTTCTGACAGCACACAATTGAGAACAGACCAACCTCCACTTCTTTGAACCCTTCCCCAAATCACCTAAAATGAGCTCTAATCCTATCTAAATTCCTCCCAAGTCTTTGTTACCCCCATGAAATAGAGTGTCCTTCTACAACAAGCTTAATAAATCTAATTCTTGTTTTGTACTATATGCACACTCGCGGAGGTATTTGGCTGGTGGGCATGGACAATTCCTAGCATCTGAAGTACCTGACAAAGAATGGGTGCTACAAAATACTTAATGAGGGAAGGAAGGAAAGAAGGAAGGAAGGGAAGGAGGGAAGGAAGGGAGGAGAACGGAGGAAGGGAAGGAGGAAGGGGACAGGAAAGGGAGGAAGGAAAGAATGGCTAGTATCATCAGTGATTTGAGAAAAGAATTAACTTCATGCTTTCAAAGACCTATTTTTGTTATGCTCCTGCTGAATCTTTCTGGTTACCATTGCCCCTTTTTTGATAAGATAATTATACTAGAAGATAGCACCGAATTCATCTTTAAGTGTTATATCAAACTTAGGTTGTTCTAACCTAATGATTCTCAACATGGGGTGATTTTGTCCCATAGGGAGCATTTGGAAATATCTGGAATTATTTTTGGCAGTCACAACTGGACAGAGAGAGAGAGCGATGCTTTGGCATCTAGGGAAGCCACAGATGCTTCTAGGTATCCTACTACACAGAGAATGGACCCCTACAACAAAGAATTATCAAGCCTCAAATGTCAAACTAACAAAATGAGAAACCCTATTAATCTAAGGTTCTCCATTCTGGCTAAATATTAGAACCAGCTGAGAAACTCTGAAAAGATTACCAAATTACGCTGCACACAGAGACCCTATTAAGACTGCCCTTAGGAGCAGCCTGCCCAGTAGAACTTTAAAAATACTTTCCGAGTGATTCTAGAATGCAGCCTAGGTTGAACTGCTCTCTCAGAAACCTGGGAGAAATTCTGGTTTCACCCGCCTTCTGCTGTCTTCTGGGCCCTTCTCACTCTGGCTTCCCTGGGGAGCTCTCCCAGTGCCTGCCAAGACACACCTGCCATGTCCCTCATCTCCTAGCCTCCTCTCCCCTGTGTGTCAGGGTGGCAGGTGACTCTAAATGGCAGTGATGAGACACCTCTCCAGCTACGTGTTCACATTCCATTGCCTTCTCTAAGCAGGGAACCATGTTTTCCTCGTCATTTTTGCTGTAAATCTGGTAAGAGGTGTTGGTGTCCTTGCAAGCCCTAGGGCCTGGCTTCTAAGTGCAGCGTGCAGAGAGTCATAATAGATTCACCAGGAAGCTTCTTCGAAAAGTAAAACCTCAGACCCTGCACAGACCTTCCCGGGGAATCCACAACTCAAACTGTGAAAAGCCTCATTTGCTCTGGGACTTTATAGTCTCTTATGACTACTCTTATTTCCATGTTTCATCTTCTGCTCTGCTTGTGTGGCTTTCATTCCAGTTTCTGAAGGATTTTTGCTTTCTTGGGTTTGGGGTTTTTCTCATGTTTAAGCTCAGCCAAGCGTTCTGGGCAGCAAGGCGGAGTTTTTTTAGACACCAAATCCGCTGCCAAACGAGACAGAGGAGCAGAAGGGAGACCGCTCCAGGTGGTGCAGCCAGAAGGCATCGCGGTGGGGCAAGCGGAGCTCCGGGCAACTAGCTCACCTTGGCCGAGCCGGTGATCTGTCCATCCAGATAGGTGGAAACGAAGCAATTCCTTTTCATTTCCTTGGTGACTACCACAGCCAGGTGGTGCCACTGACCGCAGGCCAGCAGCTGGCCACACCTGACCCGCAGCTGGCGGCCGGCAGAAGGCTCGGGATCATCCTCGGGCTCCATGATGTCTGCAAGAGAACACGGGTGTCACGGCTGGCACACAGCTTCCTGCCTCGGCACCCTGGGAGAACAGGCCTCATGCCGAGGAGCCACGGCCCAAACAAGCGCAACTGCAGCCATCGTTGCTTGAGGTCTTGCTCTGTGCCAGACACTGGTTTAAGAACGGTTACAAATGTCACTTCATTTCATTTTCACAGCCCCCCTGTGAGGTAGGTGCTATCACAATCCCCACTTAGCCTCCTGAGGCACAAACGGGATCTGAAACTTGCCCGGGGTCGTGCAACAGGACTCAAACCCTGAAGTCGGGCTTCGGGGTCGACCCCACATGGACCGCCTCTGCAGCGGTGCACATCTGCCCTCGAGTCCTCAGGAGGGGGAGGGGGACAGGTAGTTGTGCTCTGTGACAATGATGCCAAGCCACGCTTGGGGCCTTCTGGGTGTCTCTCTATGAAACAGTGACTCTCTTGGGGACACAAGAAGAACAGGCCATTTCTGGCCATCACAGGGGGATGAGCTTAGAGAGTCAGGCAGAATTTGAAATGGCGGCACCTGGGCCAGCCACCCGCCACTGAAGGAGAGTTGGTCTCCCAGGCTCTGGAGCGGAGAGTTGCTGACTTAGTTCCACTTCTCCCAAGTGTGGGCAAAAACAGCTCCAGCTCCCAAAACCTTACCCAGGGGCTGAAACGCTTTCTCTTCCGTAGACACAACCAAGGAGAGGTCGTCCGGGCACAGGCTGACAGAGAGGCAGACGAAAGGCTGCTCGGTCCTGGCCAGGTGACGCACCAGGGTTAGGAAGCGCAGCGGGTGGCCCTCAAGGACTGTGCTGTGCCTACTGATCAGGAACCAGCAGGAGAAGGTCAGGCCCGCAGATGGAGGGAATGACCTGGCAGCACCTGGAGTCAGAACACAAGCATCTTCCTTTAGCCTTTCTCCTGCTTTGGAATCTTGTCTAGAGTCATCATGGCTCTGATTCGGCCCAGGTGTGGCCCTATTGTGTACCCGTCCTGTGCCTGATCTGACTCATGCTCACTTTATGTCAACCCTACACCACAGAAGCTTGTCCCCTTATTCATACTCGCAGGAGTAAGTCATATTCCCACCAGGACTTGAGTCTAGATCTCCAGAACCTCTCTCCAATTCTATCCCACCTATTATGCCATGCCATTTTGCCAAGGGTGTCAGGGGCACAACCCTGCAGACGGTCACTATTGGCTGATCTAAAGCTGGGCAGTATGCTACGTGAGGTGTACCTCAGCTGAACCTCGTATGGGGAAGTCTCCGCTATAGGGAAATCCATGTCCTCCTGCCCCATAACAGGGTTGGCAGTACAGAGTGGGCCCACCATCATCCATGAATTAGCTGAATCAGACTTTGTGTCCCATGCGGATGAGCTGTGAATGCAATGGGTCCTCAGCACCCACCACCCCAGAGAAATTCTGGTTCTCCTAACCAAGGGTGCTTAGCTAAGACAGCACTGGGCGCTTGTCCTGTCCTGCCCAGCCAGTTTTTAGATGAGCACAGCACTGAGCAAAGCCTGCCAGGGCCCAAGTAGACCAGATGGCCATCCACACATAGAACATATATTCTTCTCTAGAAAGAGGCCTAAGGTGGGGTGAGGTGTTTGTTTCAACTTCTGTCAATCGCTGACAAAATGAATCCAGTCCAGACTCTGCCATCAAATCACCACTGAATCCCCACTGTATGCAGAGTCATGGCTGGGCCCTTGGGATCCTCCTGCCCTAACACAAGCATGACAAACCACAAGGATGACTCATTTACAGATCCAATAAGGAAGACTCCAGTCTCTTGAAAGGCCAGGTGGAAGTCTGACATCAAGGCTCCCTCAGCACTTGCTCTGGAGACAGGATGACTTCAGCTCAGCAAGCTGAGCCCCCCCAAGAATCACCTACCTGTCCCAATCCCTCCAGAGACCAGATACTCTGTGCTGCTTCCCATAACTGTAGACAGGGTCGGAATAAACAAACAGCTGGAAACACAAAAGTGTCTCAGATCAGTGAACCACAAATCAGCTTTGGCTGTGACATCTCCCCTCTGTCCCTCCGCAGGGGCCTCCCTCCCTCTTACAGCATGAGGACAGAAAGCATCTGATGCTGTTATGAGGACCCCAAGGGATGGAATTCACACTTGACCCTAAGGGGGAGGGCATTCCAGAAAACAGGCCCACAGGGGGAAGGAGAGGGTCATAGCACTCCGTGGCTGATGATGTTGACCCTGAGAAACCACTGAGAAGACAAGGTTGTCCCTGACCCAGACATTTTCTGCTCCTGAGTGGTGAGAGCTGATGAGAACTACAGTTTTGTCATCAATATTATAATTCATCAGAGGCACTGGGAAATTAATAAAGTGCATTCCAGATATAAGAAATCCTGTCATACCCATAACCTTCCATGGACATGTCAAATTCCACAAACGATGGAGCCAGGACCGCCCTCTGAGGCTGCAGGTGGCGTGGGGAGGTCATGGAGATGAGGCTCAGCGAGGTCTGAAGGGCAGTGGTTGAGCCCTGGGACGTCCCCGAGGCCCTGAAGGTATGTGTGACTGCTGGGCCAGGGCCGGCATCCATGGCGGCTCCCGCGGGACCCTCACCAGTCCCTGCTGCTGCAGCCTGGGACCCTAAAGCAATAAGCCAGAGAAGAGATGAGGGGCCACGTCCCCATTCAAGCATTTCTACTGCCCTTCTGACAACAGCCCCAGTGCTTCTGCCACAGCCCAGGAGGAGGGCTAGCGTAACCACTATGATGTGGCTCTCTGCTGACTCAGGAATGCCCCTGCAGCAACCATGCTCCTCCTGGAAACTTTTTCTGCCTTCAGTCCACCATTCCCCACAAACATCACCCCGCCCCCCAGTTTCCAACTTGCCCCACTGGTAGTCACTCACTGACACTGCATCCTGGCTCCCTGATCTCCCCACTCACAGCAGCCTGTCTCTTTGAAAGCTCTGCTCCCCGCCACTGGCTGCCAGCACAAGCTGACTCTCTGTCCACGCTTTTCAGCTGTGCCTCCTTGCCTTCATGCCCTCATGTGATCTCACATGCGGTATGCTCACAGCTTTCTTTTCTTTAAGCTGCTCCCTGGAGCCAGCAGCCTCCCAGGGACCACGCTTGATACCAGGGATCTACGCAGGGCTTTGGCCTCTTGACCTCCTCGCTGACCCCTGAGCTGTGAGCTGTGCATAAAGCCATCACTGGCACCTCTGTCCAGGCGCAGCGCCATGTCACGAAGGAAACTCTATCACTGTTTCCATGATCTGAAGCTCAAGGGGTCAAGTACAATCTTACCATCACCTATCTTATATGAGGGTGGGGGACATCCTTTTCCTTCCAGATGTGGTCTTTCTCTGGGACCACCAATCCTGCTTTTCCTCATTCGGTCCTTTGCACAGCAGGTATTTTAAGTCTGTCTGCTTCTCACCTATTGTAGACTCCCTTATAAGGAATGCATATTCTCTTTCATTCCTGTTAACCTTCCCTGTTCTTTCCTTTGTTCTCACCTGAGCCTCCAGGGTCCCCTCTGTGCAGACAAGACGAATGGAGGATTTTCGTTGCAGCCGACAGAGGTGGGGGAATTCCAAGACCGAGAAACTGTCTAGGAATTGTCACAGAGGAGAGAAAGAAATGAAGACCTTTCACGGATAGAAGTGTTCTCCAGCTTCGTTGAAGCACTTTCCTAAATCTTGGTGCTCCCTGATCCCCTCCTCCACGCTCTCCTCTCTCTGCCTGGAATGGTTCTTCAAACCCTGCAGAAGCAGGGTGTTCCTGGCCATGCACTCAAACTGCAGAGCTAGTGCATGTAGGTGGCTTTGGCTTGGTCAGGGACCAGCTGGAAGCCTTGCACTGGACCTTGAAGGGGAAAGGAGTTTGCACTACTTTGTTCTGCTTCTGCTCTCTCTGCCCTGCCACGTGCCTCTCCGTCCTGCGCAGCTTTCCAGGAAACAGGTGCCTTCCGGGAGGGGCTGCCAGCGGGAAGTGTCCCCAAGGATACAAGGTCCCTGTCCTTGTCAGGAGTCCCGCCCCGGCTCCTTGCAGCAGCCCAGCTCCCTGCAGTCTGGCCCCTTGGGGTGTCAAGCCCTCACAGCCCCCATCCTTCTCAGCAGGGCATCCTCAATGCCCTCTTCCCTCCTCTCCAGTCCCGTGAACATTGGCACAGGCCTCAGGCCTAAGCCACCCACTGCCTGGAAGCCCTGCCCCTTTCCACCCATTCTCCCAACTGTGGCCCTCCCAGTTCATGCAGCACTGGCACTGCCCACTGAGCAGCCCCCACAGCGCATTCTGTGTTGTCTGCAGAACCCTCTCCCCCAAGACTATCAACTCCATGGGAGGGACCATGTCTGTTCTGTGGGCCTGTCCACTGCCTGTATGATCTCCTCCCTAGACTAACAGTGTCCTGTGCTGGGAAGGGCCACACCCCACAGAGTGGAGAAGCAGGAGAGGGAGGGGGACACCTGTCCCTGTGCACTCCTCTACTCTATCTGAGCACAGCTGCCAGCGGCTCAGCAGAATTTAATGCACGGCACACAGTACCTTAACACATCTGGTTCAATGGCTTGGGAGGCAAGCTTTTCAAAAATCCTGATGAGGCCCGAGTGCAAGGGGCTGGAGCTGGTGGTCAGGGCCTGGCGACAGGAGGCCATGAGGGTCCTAAGCATCCCCGCCTCGCACATGACCTGACGGTTCTTCTCCGACTTCACCAGGGACTGGATGTGACTGGCCATGGAGCACTGGATCTCCTGGGAAAGCTAAGAGGTAGCGAAAGCAAACGGTGAGCCCTTGAGGTCAGAATACTTTGTGGGCAACTTGGATCGATCCCCAATCAGGCCTCAAATAGGTTAGGGGGCCAGGCAACTGCAGTCCCGTGTTTGAGTCCATACCCTTGGCACAGAAGGTGTAGCGTGGCCAGGAGGCAGGCCCGCAGGCAATGTCCGTGCCGACTGGCTATGGCCCAACCAAACCACACTCAGTGCCCAGGCCAGCACCAGGTGTGGCTCCGGTGCCCAGTGCCTTCATCCCCTGCTGTCATCCACCCGACACCCTCCAACTGTCCTTGTCCTCCTCTCATACGCGGGCAGCTGTGGTGTCATCTCACCCTGACTAGTTTTCCAGTCATTTCAGTAACTTTATGTCCTTGAAGTCCACAGAAGAGAATGCAGAGAGTCAGCTCAGTAAATATTTGAGCCAAATACGTCGCTTTTGCAATCTTCCTTTCTTTTTTTTTTTTTTAAGATTTTATTTCTTAATTTGACACAGAGAGAGAGAGAGAGAGGGAGAGAGAACACAAGTAGGCAGAGCAGCAGGCAAAGGGAGAGAGAGAAACAGGCTCTCCACTGCGCAGGGAGCCCGACATGGGGCTCAGTCCCAGGACCCTGGGATCATGACCTGGGCTGAAGGCAGCTGCTTAACCAACTGAGTCCCCCAGGTGCCCTAGCAATCTTCCTTTCTTCATAAAAATATCAACCCCTGGAATTCCCAGGCCTCTGTAGATAACAGTTTGGAGCAGGGGTGGAGGTGTTAGGGGTGGGGAGTCCTCTTAGGACTGCCCACATTCTCTTTCACTATTATATGTGATAGGGTCTGAAGTGAGAGGGATACCAGTTAGAACTTAATGGCATTTTCCTGCAGTGGATGCTATGGGACCTTCCCCCAGATCTCCTCCTCCAGATGAATGTACCCATCACCACTCCCCCTTCTCTGGAGGACAGCAGTCCTCCAAGGGGGAGCTGCACTGCCCCACCTATTCCCTGCTAAGTGGCCCCCCATGTATGTTCATGCATGCACACACAAATGCATATGTACACATGTACTCTGCATGCATATACACACATGTGTACACATATGTGCACATGTATGCACATAAGTGTGCATGCGTATATACATATCCACAGAACTATACATATCCTTGTGTGCATGCATTCATGCACATACACATGCATGCAAATATACACACACACACCTGCCATGTGTACATACACACACACCACACACCGGACCGTAGCCCACGAAGTCGCACCCTTCAGTCTTTGTAGTGCAATTCATGCCCTGAGGGCCCCGCCCTCGTGGCTCAGGCTGAGGCTGGACTTCAGCTGATGGCACATCCCCGTTGAGCTTCTTCTCCTACACCATCTCCTTCCTCCACTCCCCTCCCGAGTCCCTCCCTTGAAGGATCTGATGTACCTGTACCCCAGTCTTGGGCTCTACCTCCCAGGAACCCAACCTGGGGCTTCGGTATGCTTTTCATACTGCACACCTTTGCCCTAGTTTTTGGTTTCAAGAAAAGAGATCTCGGACAATGTAGATCATGTCTAGGTTAGTCCCAGTGGAAAGCCAGGACTAACCACAAAGGCACTAATTTGAATCTTCTCCTTCTAAGGGTGACTGGCTTCTCGTCCCCTTGAGTCACAGACCATCTGATATGCACACCTCCCATGAAAGCTTTCTTGGGGTCCTTTCTTGCTTCCGCTTCTTCCCTCTCTCCCTTCAACAAGTTATTAACTGTCTCTTCAATGTCAGGCTCTGGGTAAATCTCTAGGCATTTCAAGATTAACACAACACTGTCCCTGCTCTCAAGGGAATCATGGACTACAGGCAAGACAGGAGAGGGAACAGTCTCAGCACAGTGAGAAACGGGCTCTAGCAGCTGAGTTACAGTGTCTGGGAAGGAGGGGTTCCCTGCAGCCCCTCACACATTGCACAGAGCTCCTGGATTTAGAAGGGAATCCAGGCCTGGCATCTCCTAGCAGCCAAATTTTACCCTGAGATGAGAATATTTCCTGGGAATTCAGGATGTGCCAGACCCCAGTCTAAGCATTTTGATATGTATAGGTTATAGAGTCCCTTTGAGGAACCCTATAAGGGAGGTAATTTTACTCTGCCCATTTCGCAGATGAGGAAACTGAGCCCAGAGAAGTACATTATTCAGGCCACGTGGCAAGGTCAGAGCCTGGCTTTGACCCCAGACTCCATGCTGAGGATCACCTCACTTCCCATCTCAACCTCACACATGCAGAGATTTTGGAACACCCTGCCACATAGTCAAGAGTATATCTGTATCACTAAGGGACAGAAATTAAGAAGGTGGTGGCATTCATCCTTAGGTCATAAACACCACTTGGTAGTATATATGTTTTAAGGATTAAAATGTATTGGGACACATATTTACACTGTTTATCATGAATTTTTAGATTTAAAAAAAAAAAATGAATGGGTCATACAGCTCACCCTTCACCCTCCCTTCCTCCTTCCAGGAGCACATCAACCAGAGCTCCTGTCTCAAACTGATGGCATTCAGTGAAATTTCCATATTTACAATATCTTCAGTAACACTTTCAACTTAAAATTTTAGACCATCTTAATTTTAGTTTAAAATTTAAACCTCATTAGAATGGTTTTAAGGGCAATTGTTCTGAGACAGGATTTTGTCCTTCTGAAACATCACCATTTTGCCACCATCCCTGATGCCAAAGGAAGATCTCATCATTGAGATAATATGACCCCTGTAATGCACTGGGTGTCTTTGTCCCCCAGGATTCATATGTTGAAACTTAATTTCCAACAGGATATGTACGGAGTTGGGGGCCTTTGTGGGGTGATTGGGACCTAAGAGTGGATCCTTCATGAATGCGATTAGTGCCCTTATAAAAGGGACCCCAGAGAGCCTTCTCTTGCCTTGTACCATGTATGAACACAGTAAGAATGAGGCCATCAATGGGGCAGTGGGCCCCCAGCAGACACTGAGTCTGCCAGCACCATGCTCTGGGACTTCCAGCTGCTGGAACTATGAGAAATAAGTTTTGGTTGTTTAGAAGCCACCAAATCTATGGTGTTTTGTTATAGCTGCCTGAATGGACTGAGATCAGCCCTTCCCTGTCACTGCAGTATTGGCGTGGCCACTATAAACTGTTAGAGGCAATGTACAGCCCAATGGGAACCAGAGATAGAAGGAAGAAATGCCAAAACTTATTTGCACTAAACAATTCCACCACTTTTGCTTTGAGGAGTTCCTCCACGTGGAAATCTACCCAGCCTCCTTGCCTCCCTTCCCCAGATCTTTCTTCTACTGCTCTCAGCATCCTTCCCTGCACCCCACGGAGTCCACACCTCGGTCTTTCCTCCTGTCTCCTCCTCTCAGAACACAAAGGGAGCCTCTGCCTTCTTCATTTGAATTTCCCCCTTCCAGAACCTAGATTATTTGGTAACGGCAGTCTTTTAATTTGGGATGAAAGTTGGGGAGACAGTCTGTAGAAGCAAGATGCAAAAATAACACCACAATGTATTATTAATAAGAATTAGAAAGAAATGTCAACAATCTCCAGTTTTATTATCAGCACTTCACTTACTACTTTGAGGGCTTTTGGCTTTCTTTTTTCGTTGTTGTTTGCTTTTTTTCATCCACCAGAGAAGAGCTACTTAAAATCTAAATATGCAAAAGAGAAAAAAAGAAAAAAAAAGCAAAGAAAAAAAAGGCAAAAGTTTTCAAAAGGGAGAAATGCTGATCTTGTCTAATGATGCCACAAGTTTACTCCAAAATTGCTCAATACCCCATAATGGAGGAGGGAAAATTGATCGTCCTCATTATCATTGCAGCTCTGTCAATACCAATATTGCCTTGTTTTGAATAAAATGTGCTGTTTTTTTCAATGTTGGTTCCAGTAAAATGGGGTTTTAGTGAAAATATGAGCAGTAGCAGGAAACCAGTCTGGTTTCTCCCCCTACAAATGGATTGATTTTCCTAACGCATATTACTTCCAATGCAGGCTAGGGGATGGTGGTTCAATTAGGGCTCCATGGTGAGTGCGTGGGGTCACCAGGCTGGCCGGTGGGCAGGACCCACAAGGCAACTTATCACAGAGCGATTTGTGGGTCAGCCTTCAGGAGTTTTTTACTTTCTCCACTTAACAGTCGTGGCTTCAAGTCTATCCTTGCCCTGCTGTGGATGTTTGTTGTTCTTTCTCTCTCTCCCCCGCTTTCTCTTCTGGTCCAGATTCATACAGTCCCAGAGTCCAGTGAGGGCTGGGTCCTGGTGGGGTGCATCCCTCCCAGCAGGCATGGGCTTTGGACACGTAAGTCTACAGTGTGTCCTGACACAGATGTAAAAACCTTCAGATGACCATGTCCGTTTCCTCCAGACACTTAGAAAGAACCAGGGAGTTCTACAGAGCTACCCAAATTTGGATTAGTTGCTTATTCCAATTTTGTTGAAATGGTCTTCGACGATTTTGGAAAAGAGATAGTACAGGTTAAGTGACCTCAGCTCTTCAGAAATAGCACAAGTAAATAGGACTCATGGATGAGTATCATTTGACAAGTTCTTATGGTTATCTTTGCTTACTTAGAATTAGTTCTTTCTATATATGGGTGCACATTTTCCTTTTTGCCACAGTCCCCATCAGCCTGGTAGACTCATTTGTGCTGTCCACATGGCCTTGTAGGTGTAGGAGTTTGTGATCTTGGTTTATGAGTAAGAGGTCCGAGTCCCACTGAATGAGCAGAACCCATGTCTAAAGGCATGGTTTCCTTGATGTTGCTGAATAGATTTGCAATAAGACTGAGCTGCATGTGGGTGCTTCCTTCACAAACTACATGCATATGATGTCTGATGCTGCCTGATAACAGAAGCCTAGGATCTTGTATTTATAAAGTATTTGTCTCTTTCCAACTTCACTTCATCTTTCCCTTTGGTCCACCCCACGCTCCAGCCCTAGTAACATTCTCTCCCTTTGCTGAATATCCTATGCCCTTTTTG